ACCCCCTGGAACGAGGATAAAGGGAGATATGGTGTATGTGAGAAATGGCAAATGAAATATTCAAGGACCTGGTCGGCAGATATATATTTAAGAATGGTTCGCGTCCACTGGGGAGGGTTTGATAGAAAACAAGCAACAATCAACAAAATGCCAGCAATAAAACTGTACGGTAACTAACAATGTTAGAAGGAGGGCTCAAGGGGGAAAGGTGTTGAGCGGGGGATGCACGAAAATTGCGAGCTTCCGACGCGACCGGCAATAAAAAGGTGCAAGGTTATTTAGCACGAGCAACACCCAAACAAGAGGCAAGGACTCCGTGGCGCGTGTTCAACTGCAGCTGGACAAATGAAGGCAACACCAGCAGCTGCAACAAAGGCAGCAACAGCAGTACCAAAAGCATCAGCAGCAGCAATACACTGTAAGAAACATATATGCCTAGCCTTTTTTATTCAAAATATTAATTCAAAGCAACAGAATGTTTGCACAAAATATATTTTCAAGGTAGTCAAGTTGACGCAGTTCCTTGAAATTGGTAGAAGGTTAATTAAGTTCTTATGTTTTAATATATATATTGTTTACTTTACATATTAACTAAGGCATTTATGAATATAAAATGTTAAAAAGAAGAAAATAATAAAAATTGCAAGCTTGTTTGGTTAAAATGTTTGTTTACAGTTCTATCAATACTTCTAAAAATTTAAGCTCTCTAAACTAATAAAATTAAAAAATAATTGAATGTTTCTCATCGCTTACAAATAAAGAATTTTACCCCACATATTAAAACTATTTGCACCACAAATCGCAATTCATGAACCTTTATTAATTGCCTGGATTTACATTTTTCTTTTAAGAGGGGTACCATAATTTCCCCCAGTGCATCAGGAGCCGCCACACACAGCTGAAAACAACAGCAAAAGGTGTAACAAGCAGCAGGAACATAAAATGTAAAAGCGAAAAAGTGTTGGTTGCCTGCTTTTTGTTCTTGATGCTGCCGCTGTGGCAGTTGCCCCAATGCCGGCAATTAATATTATTGCATGCCGTCTAGGTGTGTGTCTGGGTGTAATGAAATTAAGCACAACAAGCGCCAAAAACAAAATTCTGAACAAAATGGCAAAACGTTGAAATTTTTAGGAAGGGATAGCGATAGTGCTGGCTTTTTTTAGGCTGTGTATCCAAGGAATTCCCTGCGAACAATGCAGCTTTCGATGGGCGGATGCCACGCCCATGACCAGTTTCGATTTATTTCCCATCGAACCACAAATAACGTAAATTGGCATCATATTTTAAGCAAATTGCAGTCAAGATTTATGGTAATTGTGCGCCATCGCAGCAGCTACTCAGTTGCTGCTCGCTCTTTCTCTTTCTCGCTGAAGTGGAAAACGGAAAAACCACCGCCCACCACCCACTATACACCACCCACCGCCCACCGCCCGCTGCAACCCAAAAGCGACCACAAACGACGAATCCTTTGCTGTTGTTGGTCTGCCAATGCTGCCGCCGCTATTCCTCCAAGTTGCCAGCGAAAACCAAATTTGCAATTTATTTTTCCAATTAACCTCGTGACTTTTATAAAGCGTGGCATAAATTCTCGCATAACAAGGCAGCAGACCCAGTACATCCAAGGCCACCCGGTTTGGGTTATCTGGGATAAAAGATCCCTCGGAACCGAAATTACCTTGGACACCGGCAAAATAATTTGCTGGCTGCATTAGTGGCGGAAAGTCGCATTCAATCTTCTGAATTGTAGACTTTAATCCGAAAAGGACACCCATTGGGGTTACTAAATAATTGTAGTTTTGGGGGAAAATCAATCAGTGGGGGAAGCTGGCAGTCTCAATAAATAAAAGTTACTAAAAAATGCAACGATATTAAATCGTACATATGTATGTACATTGACTAATTAATAAATAATTATTCTTATTGGCTTTGTAAGCCACAAAAAATATTTATATTTTTTCTATTGGGTTTTCATTTATATTCATAGAATCTCTAGTTAATAATAATTACTCAATCCGAAAATTGCAAAACAAAATGATGACTGATTAGGGTTTCTTGAAATCGAATACATATAAAATGTAATCGCGAAAAGATTACAAGTTATGTTTATATGGGATTTTCCTTACGAATTACGTGTCGAGTACATTATTCTTAAAAGGGCTGTGAAAATGGAAGTCTTTCTTACCTGCGCTCCAGTTAATGTAGCCATGTCGAGGATAATATTGGCCTTCAGATCCTTGTTTGCGAAACAAACGCCATCGGCGAGCACCAAGCGGCCCTCGGCGTCCGTGTTGTTGATCTCCACTGTGCGGCCAGAGTAAAGAGTGTGTATGTCATCGGGGCTAAAACCAAAAATATAAAATATAAGTAAAATAGTACAATACTCGTGAATATGCTGGTAAACAAAATTGTAAAATTATTGTTTCGAAGGAACAGAGATTTTTCTAATTATATACAATTTTACACTTTTAAAATATGATCAGAATCTAATCAACTTGGTAAGGTGCCACATAAATCTATGGTGATGGGTTTCAAAGCTCTGTGCATCAACTAAAAATCTCTGTGACAAAACGACAAAAGTTAACATGATTCCGAAAGACTTCTGTAAAAAGATTTGAACTAATCAGGTACTAAAACTCACCGAGTGGCATTCGGACCGACTGAATTCTCGGCCAAGCAGAAGACAGCATGCAGGTTATCCTTGAATCCGCACTTGACCGCCGCGTAAAAGGCGCCAAGGATGGCAGCCGCTCCACCGCAATCGCGCTTCATGCCCGGCATGCCGGTCTTGGCCTTGATGCTCAGGCCACCGGTGTCGTAGACGATGCCCTTGCCCACCAGGGCGATGGTCTCCTGGGCGCCCTTCGGCAGATGGGAGAGCACCACGAGGGCAGGTGGCACGGCTGCAGCCTTGCCCACGCCGTAGATGCCGCCAAAACCGCGCTCCCGCAGCTCCTCGCCGCGGATGACTTGCGGCTTGAGGCACAGGTCCTTGCCCACCTCCTCGACGGCTTGGATGAAGTGGTCCACGTTCATCTCGTTGCACGGCATGTCCACGATGCGAGCGGTCAGTCGGATGCCCCTTGCGGTCTCATTCAGGCACAGTAACTCGTCCTCCGTCAGAGGTTCGCAGTCCACGTTGCCCTCTTTGTTGATCAGCAGAAACTCTACGTTTACCACGTTGCGCCCTGCATCCGTGTTGCTATCGCCATCGCCATCGCCACCGCATCCAAATTCTTTCTTAACTTGGGCTGCCGCCAGATTGCCCGTTTTGCGGGAATACAAGGGGAAGGCCCGGACCACCGCACAGGCGCTGGCGAACAGGTTCTCCCGCTCGCAGACGAGCACCACGCTCTCCTCGGCCACGTTCAGGACATGGTTCTTCACCAGTCGGGTGATGGCATGCGCCCGCGAGGTGGTATTATGACGCGAGGCCTTCAGCGGCAGGGCGGCCAGGGTGGCCATGTCCAGGTAGAGGGACACCCTGTCCGTGGGCGCCGGATGCAGACAGGCCACGGCATGCGAGAAGGTCTCCTCGGTGACCCGCGGACTGAGCTTGCTCTCCAGATGACTGAACTTCAGCAGATTCAGATGGCGCAGCTGGCCGATGATCAACACCGGATGTGACTGCGGATCGCTGCAGCTCAGCGATGCGTTGAACTTCACGTCCGTGGCCATCTGGAAGAGAAGATGATTGCGAATGAGTGAGGGTTCGGAATTCGAGACCCGGGAATGCCAGCCCCATCCCAGCGATAAGCCACTGGTAGTATCTTATCGGTGCTAATCTCGCGTTCACCACTCCAGATGCCCCACATGGTTATCAGCCGACGACTTTGCACTACAGAGCCACCCAATTGATGCAGCCACCCATAAATCACGAGAGCACAAAGCGGGGAGATAAGAAATGGTGTTTGGGTTAGGGTTTTTCCTTTAAGAAAGAGTTTGCATTGAGTTGTTCTACAAATGGAACACCTTCAAAGTATACAATTATGTTTTTCTAAGCTGAAAACTGATTTACCTAAAGCCATCATTAATAGAAAGATTAATAAAGAAAGAGGTTTAGCTCAAAAAATTAGTGAGTATTGTACCTAGAAATTAAAAATAAAAGGATTTTAAATTTGGAATAGTTGCTTGCTTTTGGTTTTCAAAGTTGTTACTAAATCAAAAATTTAAATATCTTATTCAAGCAGCAGAAAAATAAAAAATAATACTATGTAAATATAATGTTTGATTAAAGTGCATATACAATTTCTGTTTGTAAATATTAATTATTTTTGTTGTTTTGCTATATAAAGGCAATACAAATTAAAACTACTTCTGAACTGAATTTTCCAAGCTTCTACCAAGTAACTTTACGATGCATTATAAAGTTTAGGGGATTTAACAACCAAGATAAGTATTATTGAATCGACAAACCGATTTCAAATTCGAACTGCCAGCGTGACCTTGAATTCGGCGCGACAAGAACAACAAGTGGGTCGTTGACCGATTCGCGGGGTTTCTAAAAAAAAGTGGCGAATTATCTTTCCCATCCATTGCAATAGACTTTCGGAGCAACATAACCGATTTGTCTATATCTTAGAGTATTATGCAAATTCTCCATTCGCTATTTTTAGACTCTTTGTTCGAGTTTTCTTCGTTCACAAAATGTTTTTCCACATTTTCCACCTGATTGTTTGCTCACCTTTCCAAAGCGGCTGCTGCTGTAAGTGCGAGCGAGAAGGTTGCGTATTGCCCGGGCGCCGAGCAGCAAACGCATTAATTGTTTAATTCCGAAATTTCACAAATTTTTGCAGAAAGTTAAATTTTGTGTTTTTGCTTTGCCAATTTGACTTGCAATTTTTTTTGCTTGCCGGCTCCTAGAGATGCGACTCTCGAGGCGATAGCTCGATGTCAACTATCGATATGCTGGACAAAACCTAAATCTACTGGTCTGGCAACTCTATCACAGCCTGGAAGTACCATCACTAAGAGAAAGGGCCATCTCTAACTGGAAAGCAAAACAAGCGCGTCTGGCAAGTCAAAAGGCGGTGGATTTGTAAAGAATTTTAGGAATCCACGCAAAATAAGTTATAATATGGCCATAACGATGAATGGATCGTCCTATGAAAAGCGAATAAAAGCCGTATACGACAAACAGATTCGCCTGCAAGTTCGTGAGGCGAACGTCATCAAGAAAGTGTCCAAATTCAAGGGACATTTGTGTAAGTTGCAGCAGGAAATCTGTTTTTTGATTTTAATGAGTTGTTTTCAATTGAATTTCATAGTGGATGTCAAAGAGGCCGTCGTTCGCCACCAACGGGAAGTGGGCAAATTGCAAAAAGTGATCATGCAGCGGCGCGAGGAAGTGGAAAAGCGGGTTTCATTCATGGAGGAATTGTCCAAGGACCTGGAGGCCACCAGACAAAGGAACTTGGTCCTGAAAGAGCAGATAAAACAGCGCAAAATGCTGGCCAGGAAGCGCGACAACGAAATCATGGAAAGGTCAGCATTTTGGGACTATAATCCTATTGGACCCACCTCATTAAGTACTCCTGTGAGACTAATATTCACTTGGATCATTTGATTACTTGAATTTGAACTAACTGTTAGCAAAACCTACAGAATTATTTACTTTCCATATGGCAAATATTAGAAATAGACTTTCAATTTTAACAAGTATTTGTTTACAGTCCTCTTAGTTAATTAAACATTACTTTAACAAAAATTAATTTTCAAGAAGTATTTGTCTCGAATCTTCTTATACACTTGTTTACTAACATTTTTTCTATCGCTCCTATAAATTTACAAAATCTTTATCTTTATCTTAGTCCGAACATCCTAAACCATCTGATTTAACCAGCATTTATACTCTGTTTTGTCAATAAAACTAGTTCGTCTTGTAGATATTACGAGTTAGTTAATTTAAAGATGTCTTTTTATCTTTCGCTTTTTCTGATAGCGATAGGTAGTCTCGTTTTTTTTTGTTATTTTCAATTTAGTTTCACTAATTTTAATTTAATGGCTATCTGCCGAAATTGCTAACAATCAAATAGGTTATGCTCCCTCCATAAATGTATAAAGTAGAAATTAAGTTAAATTATCTTTAAAATCATGAGATAATTTAATTTAAAAATACTTGTATACCCCTTTTACAAATATATAATGTACAGCGTAGAGTACACTTTTTCGAAAGTATTATATTTGACAACTCATGTGCATACACAAGCACGCTTGTTTTAAAGTCACGTAGTGTCCCACAAAATATAATAATAAAAGCAATACATGCTTCTTTGTTTAATTATATAGCATTCACACGCTGAAACAGGCCACAGGGACATATATAAACAACGATGCGTTGCCAGCACGTGTGAAAGGTGTCACTGCACTGCGAACTGCCGATGGAGACCAGTTTCTACCCTTTAATCTGAGGGCAACCGATGTCGAAGGACTGGACTCGCTTTGTCAGCACCTTCAGACCTTTAACATCGACGTGTCCCAGTGGCGACACCTCATTTCCCTGGCCGCGGAAATGTCTACGGACTCGCATGCTACACCTACTACACCGCCCAAGGAGGCCACCAAGTTCAATCCCATAATTGAGATCGATCTCACCTCGCCGACGAGTCAGACCTGACTTCCGATTAGCCAACTAGTTTTGGCTGGTGAAGCCCCACTGCTGTAATAACACCTCAAATTGGCATTATAAATAGTTGGCGACAAAATAATAGGACATTTAATTCTAATCGCCGTTTAAGCCTAACAGTTAAAGCGATTTATTTGGATCACCGCAGTTATTTTTAGCGTGTTAAGTAAAACTTGTAATTTTTTAATTGGTCATCATATTTTTCCTTTATGTTTGATTAGTTTTAAGTGTGAGCCTAATATTTTACAGATTTCGAGTAATCACCAGTCATATAATAATTAAAATATGCCTATCGTTTACAACGTATATCTTACAAGGCAAATAAATCCCATCTAAACAATTATTTTATTTCTTTAAATAGTATTTTAGAATTATATTTGATCACATTTTTCTACCTTACCCTACCTGTATTTATTATAATACATTTATTTATTCTGTACATATTCTGTCAAGTTGATTAATCGATTTTTAAATGCTCAAAATATCTACTTGCTAAGCAAGATCTACGCTTTCAATTAAAATACATTTTTTTACTTTACAAATTGCCAAGTCCACGTTATTAGCATCTGCTTTTTTATAGATATAGTCAAAAGGACATGATTTCGAACAACCTCCAATATAAACCCAAAAGGGTAAATTGTATTCGAGCAAAAAAAAAATGTTGCAAAAAAAATACCTTTATATTTAATTGCCAGTAACAACTAGAATAATGAAAAATGACAAAGTTCTCAGTACTGTATTCAGTTATTTTCACTTATTGTTCTTGCCCTTTTTCTTAAAATTAAATATTAAAATTGGTTAATATTACAGGGATTTAAATGCTTGCATAATATGGCAAATTATTTTGGCTTATATGGCTTCGCTTTTGATAGAACGAAACATCTTTGGACTTTTGTCTTGGCCGCCGCTGTGAGTCGAGAAATCAGAAAAGTCAAAAGCGAGACAGAGTGCCACATTGACCGCACACCACCGGCTAACAGCTCTATCTATAAACGGCGATCCATATAGATTGACTTTGTTTAATTGCCATTGTCCGGCGAAAGTGTGAGTGACTTATCGTGGCTACAAAAACGCAGCTGCACGGCAGCGACGGGTTCAGTCGATGGCCGGACTTTAAGATGATCACGGAACTCCTCCTGGCGATCTGCACCGCGGTGTTCCTTTGCCTTTCGTATCGATATGCAGTGGGTAGACCCAGTGGCTTTCCCCCCGGTTCGTTTTGGACATGATCCTGGCCGAAGTGCAGGAGCTAATCGAATTGTTCGCAGGACCTCCGAGGATTCCGTTGTTCGGGAGCTACCTCTTCATGCTGATGATTAACTTCAAGTACCTGCACAAGGCTGCCTTGACCCTCAGTCGGTGGTATAAGTCGGACATAATCGGACTCTATGTGGGTCCCTTCCCGGCCGTCGTCGTCCACAATGCGGAAGGAGTGCGCGAGGTCTTGAACAACAAGGTCTTCGACGGACGTCCTCAAATATTCGTAGGAGCTATGCGCGATCCCGGCCCAGAAATCCGAGGTGAGTTTGAAATATGTCCTAGTGATCGTATCAGCACCTGATAGTGGCCACTTATAATGGCGTTGTTGACAAAATTGGGGTCAATCGGAAATTAATTGTTGCGTCGTGCGAACAAAACACTCTTATCGCTTGAAACCTATTAATACAGGGAGCACCACTTCACTCAAAGAAAGTGAAATCGTACATATAGTAGGAAATCTACATATAGTAGAAGTGGCCCAAAGCGCTCAATAATTTTATAATAATTTTTTTTTTTGTCAAAGTAAGAATGTTAGCACTGTTTTTTTATTAACCTGAAGATATTAAAATTAACTAATATCATTAACTAGTATCATTTTATTATGCTCACTGTAAGCAATTTATTTAAATATTTTTCTAATATAGTTTTTGGATATATCTCATAAAAATCATACAAATGTATATTTAAATGTGAGAATAAATTTAATGTTACGACTAATTCAATTAATTTAATCTCCTTTGAAATTTAACATTAACATTTTTGATTTACTTAAAATTTATGGTTCAATGACATTACTTAGAAGTTAATTTTTAAACTATAAAAATATTTATTAATTTGTTGTTTTAATAATTTAAAAACGAAGTGCATATTCTAATTAGGTTCATATTTTTCTAAAAAGCGTAAACTGTTTTTATTAACTTATTTCAAGTTGGTAGTGAAAGATCGTTAGATTAAGCTATTGTTTGAATGTGTTAAACCCGTAGGCATTACCATTTTATAAAGTATACATATGTCAGATATACTTTATCAACGTTAGCGATTAAAAAACAAGGTAGCACCCTTGACTGATAAGTGCAATCAACGATGATTGTTACTAAGTGTACTTCCCCCTTTTTTCCTGTTCTCCTTAGGCATCTTTTTTCAGGACGGACCTTTGTGGAAGGAGCAGCGTCGCTTCATTCTGCGCTATCTGCGCGACTTCGGCTTCGGCCGGCGATTCGACCAACTGGAGCTGGTCATCCAGGAGCAGCTGACGGACATGCTCGACCTGATCCGCAATGGGCCAAAGTATCAACATGAGCACGAAATGGTGAAGCCCAAGGGATACCGCGTCCTCCTGCCGCTGCTCTTCAACCCCTTCGCAGTCAACTGCCACTTCCACATCGTGTACAACGAGTGCCAGAGTCGCGAGGAAATGGGCAGATTATTGAAACTATGCCAGATGGGCATGCAGTTTCAGCGGAATGCGGACGACTACGGCCGCCTGTTGAGCCAGATGCCCTGGATCCGGCACTTTTGGCCCGGATGGAGTGGCTACAACACGCTTCACGAAGCCAATCTGTTCGTGCACAAATTCTTCTCCGACTTTGTGGATCGGCATTTGGATAGCTACGAAGAGGGCGTAGAGCGCAACTTCGTGGATGTCTATATTGCGGAGATGCGCCGCAGTCCGGGCTACGGGTTCAACCGGGACCAGTTCATCATGGGCCTGGTGGACTTCTCCTTCCCGGCTTTTACTGCCATCGGAGTGCAGTTGTCGCTGCTCGTTCAGTATCTCATGTTGTATCCGGATGTGCTGCGCAGGATGCAGAGTGAGATCGACGAGGTTGTGGGATGCGGAAGACTGCCCACTCTGGAGGATCGCAAGAACCTGCCCTTCACCGAGGCCACTGTTCGCGAAGGTCTGCGCATCGAGACTCTGGTGCCCTCGGATGTGCCTCACAAGGCGCTGGAGGACACCGAGCTGATGGGCTACAAGATACCAAAGGTGAGTTCGGAATGCTTTCATTTCATTGGATTCAACTTGCCAGCCATATTTGGTAGTCTTTTTGATAAAGTTCTTAAAACTATAAAACTATATTAAAAGTGTTTGCTCAAATATCAGATTAAATATATTTAAGCACGATTTAGAGGAAGTAAACACGAATGAAATTATAAATAAAATAGCCTCATAACTATTTTCGTAACCGAAATTGCATAAACTAAATCATTATTAATATTTAATTCTAAGTCGAGCCCGAATTGGAGAAAACTTTACTTAGAATCAAATATATTTATTATGTATTTAGCCTATTACCCTTTTATTTAAGTACTTATTGTTATAGAATACACATTTATACAAAAAGTATAAATTGCATTTTCAGATAAGTTATTTCTTTCTATAACTAAAATGTGGGATCTAATATCTCCAATCTCGGACAGTACTGATTACATTTCGCTATCTCCCCTTAGGATACCATTGTGGTGCCTAGCCTGTACGCATTTCACTCGGATGATCGCGTCTGGAAGGATCCGGAGCAGTTTCGGCCAGAGAGGTTCCTCGACGCAGAGGGCAAACTTAGCCTAAAGCTGGATGTCTCACTGCCCTTCGGAGCGGGAAAAAGGCTGTGTGCCGGTGAGACATTCGCCCGCAACATGCTCTTCCTGATGACGGCGACAATGTGCCAGCACTTCGACTTCGTCCTGGCCCCGAATGATCGGCTGCCCGATCTCTCCCAGAACCTCGGCGGTCTGATTATATCGCCACCCGATTTTTGGGTGCAACTGCAGGATCGCCACTGATATTTTGATATTTTAGATATAACTAACTTTGTTTTAAGGTGTCTTTAACCCTAATTTAATTTAATATTTGGGATGAGACAATTTGCAACATAAATAATAAATTTTTCTCGTGCTTAATTCATTTTATTACTATCCACAAAGTGATTTTTTAGAGATTAAGCATTTTTTAATAGCATATGTTGTAATTCTAAAATAGTTTTTAGATACTACTATCTTCCCTTAATAAATAGAGAATCATAATATTTTCAAACCAACTTATAATTGTCTATTTAAGCAAATGTTTAAGCATGAGCGAGTTGGCTTATTGTTCGCTATCGCCCTCAGAAGTGTAATCTTGTATCGGCGAAATAACAGGCGGAGTGATTGGAACCAAATTGGCTTCCCCAATCTCCTCCGAGTGATCTGTCTCGGGATCGGAATAGCGGTTCATGCCCAATTCGGCATATAGATTTCGTTCGTATTCAGAATCAGAGCTATCTTCGGCATTGGAAAAGCCCAGCGAACTGGTCGATGAAAAGCACAATGAAATCAGTGAGGCCATCGAGGAACGGCGAGTGAGGACCGGGGACTGGGTACCGTCGCCCTCGGATTCAGAGTCCGGTCTGTAGCCATCCTCTTCCTCGTCACGGAGCTGCACGGACGGGGATCCTGAAGAGTCCATCTGGGAATTGGATGATTCCATCGGAGCGGCGCGACTCTCCTTGCGCATCTCCACAACCTCGCTGAGGATCTGGTGCTGCTTGTCCGCAATGGTGGTCACCAGCTGCTCGAGGTTCTTGATCGTGGCCTCGTACTCGACCAGCTTCTTCTTCAGCTGCCAGTTCTCGGCCCGGCAGCTGTCCAACTCCAAGTTGGCACACATGGCGATCTTGGTGTCATCCGATTCAGCGGATTTGGTGCTGGGTGCGGACCACAACGTTACACAGATAAAACCGGAATTTCGATTAAATTTCAAATCGTTTGATCGGATACTGAAGCGCGTTAACAATTTATTTGAATCTTTTAAAAATACAAAACAAATTCTAATCGAAAATTCGAATGCAATAATGTTTTAAAGAAGAATATGACAATTTTTGTTGGGGAAAAATGAAGTTTGAGGTTTTACAAAAGAGTTCGATTTAAAAGATTTAAAATTAAAACTTCCCAAAATATAAAAGCTTAAGAAATCTTTGAAAATTAATTCAAACTTGATCATTTTTTTTTGTAGAAAAATGCTTAGTTAAAATTAAGACCATACGACTGGAATTTCCAAATTTGATTTGAATATACATATGGAACATCAGTCAAATTGTTAATTGCGGAATGGAAAATATTGCAATGGCTGAAGAATGCCGTTGATATATTTTCTATGCAAAGGATGCGTTCGAAACTTACATGATTATGGCATGGGAGTCCTTATTATGGACCGGGCATGTGTGAGACATTTTGAGACTTGAAATTTACTGGCAATTCAATTCAGCAATTTTCTCACGACAAAAGCGACTTTACCTATTTGTACCTTGAAATTTCCCCCGAAACTATTTGACACTGTTTTCCTGATGTCTTGGATCTGAGTGCAAATGAGTTATGAGACCTATGAACATACAAAACCGTTTGACTGAGTTTTGTAGATGACTAGATTTGATTCAAAAATTCCTAAGAAATATATAAGTGTCAATGACCAAAAATCCATATTTTAGCTGACTATGGAATATACATAAATAATATATATAATTTTTGTCTGGCTAATAATTGACATATAAGACATCGGTAATTTGATAACGTAACAGCGCGATGAAAATGTCGTCAATAATGATAATAAATCATTTAAATCGAAAAAAAGAAAACAAAAGTAAATGAATTAATCAATCAAGTGTCTGAGCAATGATAAACCAGATCTTTCCGAAATTACTGTTGATAGAATAAGAAAACCTGATTAGACAGCAATAAAAACAATATAGTAAGATAAGACTGTAAGATAACCAGCATAAGTTTTTGAACGCAGAAAAAGTTCTTATCAATATTGACACAATTTTTTAATCACATAGAATAGTTTTTAATTCTTAGTAAAAGGGATACATAAACAAATAATAACATGGTGTATAAAGATGTAAAGTGCATCTAAAAATAAATGTAAATGTTTAAAAATCTACAAAACTAATAGAAATAGGTTGTCGGTTTAAATCGATTTAAATTTAATTTCGTTGGACTAAAAAATGAATGTATTCACTAAAAAATTAAATTTGTACTTTAAGTTCTAATTATAATAAATAAAATAAGTTAGTATTTAAACAACGCATTACGATTTTTGTGTTATTAAAATGAATAAAAATATTTAATTAAGCCGGGACTTACTGAGTTGTCTCTTTTCAGTTTGCAAGAACTTTTTGAGCGTTGGGACCTGCAACTTCTTGGACATCTTTTTATTCTTTTCATCCTGTGGGATGAAGGACAAGAGCCATGTGGAGAAGTCCTGGCGCATGGAGGCTTAGGTTTTTCAGGTTGGCGCTTGTGACGGCGATTGATACATTTATGATCATTCCTTATTCTGCGCTTTTCCATCTGCTGTATTAGGTTTTCCATTAGAATTATACTCACAAATCATAGCAGATTTATATAAGATAACTTATTGTCAATAGCTATTTCTTTTATTGTAAGAACATACATTACCTTTGTTCGGTACTTTTGTTTTTCCATCAAACTTAAATTTTTCCAATTTTGCGCTGCCTGACGCAGTGCATCTTCCCTTGGGAGATTCGGCCATCGGCTCATATTTTCAATTAAATAACTAAAAAACCCGTTCACAAAGGGTTCCATATCGTCTTCCATTGTTTCACTAAAAATTTAATGTGTACGATGAGCACTGTCTGAATTTGAAATGTGTTATAGAACTTAATCGGCCAAAGCAATTCCGATAATGTTATCAAGGGTTACTGTTTGGAAATCATTTTGAAGATTTTCTATTTTCGACGGGAAACGAAATAAAATGCAATTTTTTTAACCTTTTAACCTAACTAAAATCCAGTAGGTATATTTAGTAAGCCAACCAAAAGATTTAGTTAAAATAATCAAAATCATTGATTTCTGGATTTGATACAACTTTTCGTTGACCTTAGTTTATTATGATGTATATTACAATTTGGTTAAAAACTGTTTGCTTAGCCTATCAACAAGCAGTTTAACTTCAAACTTAAAGATAATTTGTCATTATTGTTAGCCGTATTAGATAAGCGAGATTCCCTTTAAGGACTCCTCTCCAAATATTGCTTTGACTCCTAAATATCAGCTTAAGGACTAGTTGATTTATATTCACGTTGCACATGGACCTGGATCCATGCCTCTAACTTGGCTAATACTGGCCACTCCAGTCCAGTTGGCCGCCGATCCCCATTGTCCCCCGGGGTCCTCAGCTATCGTCCCTGCTCAAACTCCTCCAAATCCTCGCCACTCCTCACAACGCCTTTAAAGGAATAAGATTGCTTTTAGTAATAGGCCTGCTTTATGGCCGCACTGGTGATCAGGAAAGCGGAGCCAATCAGCATGAAGGTGATGATTTTAAGAGCACTGGGTCTACCGGAAGAATCTGTGGATACGGATTGGAAATAAAAAACAGTTTAGTTTTGTAAAAAATAAAATAATCTAAGGATACACAAAAAATAAGGCAATTATTCATACTACCTTATTCTATAGAAAATAAAAATTATATTTTTAACTAAGAAAGAAAGTTAAAAATGAATCCAAGCCAAACTAAATATTTTTGATTCCTTTTTTTTAAGTTAGTGTAACAGTTTATAAAATAAGTATACAATATTTTGATTTTCGGAATACATTATGAAAGGGAATTTTCATTGTTTTAAGTTTTTGATTGAAATCAGTATAGTATAGTATATTAATTTATATTCTCCTTTTTCCTCTATGTTTTATTCATATTCTATGAAAAATACTCACTTTTCTTGTTGGGCATCACACGAATGCACTGCTTCTGCTCGGCATTCGCCTGGTAGTCGAATTTGCACTGACAGATTGAGTTGCGACACTCCACGTTCTCGGGATCCTTCTCCGTATAACACTCGGTGGCCTTCGTGCACGATTCTCCAAGTTCTATGAAATAATTTAAAATTATTTTCAAAACCAATATGGAAAACAAATGTATAAGTTACCCCGCTTTGTCTCGCAGATCCCATTCTTCTCGTGCTGCTGATCGGTGCAGCCACACTTCCACTCCGAATTGCAACTGGCCAGGAGCGGTTTGCACTGCTCGTCCTCGACGCACTCGTCATCTAGTTCCTCAGCTGAAATGGTTTTACGTAAAATTGGAATCATTTACCTAATGCCATAAATTTATAGTCTTTATAGTAACAAAAAGAAAATAGTAAGTTCAAAACATAGCTTTTCAATAATAAGTAATTAAACGAAATGTTTTAAAATATTATGAACAAAGAGCTGTATAACTTTCAACTCCTTTATGAATAATTATTAATTAATTGAAATGGTTTGAAATATTATGAACTAAGAAACGAAACATTTTAAATTTCGTTTAAATAACTAGTAAATAATTCTTATAATATTATAAACTAAGATCCGCATTATTTTAAATTCTTTTCAGTCTTAACTTTATCTTTAAACTTTTATTGAAGTTTTTTGTCGGTTTTATTTGCATCGAACCCTTGGTTTTAATCCAGCTATTAAACCTAAATGCTTTAGTTTTAGTTCTTGTCGTATAAATCGATTTCAATAAAGTTCAATAGGCACTCAAATCTGTGAAATAATTCTTCTTAAAATTTTTTGTATACCACTGATGAAGATAACATGTGTATTTAAGCCAACGCAATGTCATTTTCATATTTCTAGCATTTCTTGAATATATAATTATGTCTTTCTTATCTTTTCTAATATAGGTTTAATTTCTTAATGTAACCTAATCACTATTGCAACCCGAAACTACGTACCTTCCTTGAGGCACTGATCCTTGAAGTGCACGTATCCCTTTCGGCACTGGCAGGTGCGCGACTGGTCCTCCTCGTCCTTCTCCTGGCAGGTGGTGTCCTCAGCTATGCAGTCATCGTCCACCGAGCAATCGGCACCGATTCCCGGCAGGCAGGCTTCGTCCTTTTCGAAGTAGTGATCCGCACAAACGCAGAGGCGATTGGAGCAGACGGAGTGGTCCACGGGGCAGGCGTCATTGGACTCGCACTCGGCTCCCAGACCCTGTTTGTACTCGCAGAGCTGCTTGATGGCATCGTACAGGGCGTACTCCTCGCAGGTGCACCGCCTCGGGATCTCCGGATGGCAATAGGAGGCTCCGAAGGGACTGCATTGGCTGTTCGACGTGCAGGACAAGTGGTATTGGATGGCTGTTGGAGGAGGGAGAGGTGTTAATCGAGGGGTTCAGGGGCATTCACCAGAGGATCCACTTACGTTTCCTGCAGTTGCGCAGATCCCGCTCGTAGAAATAGTTTTTTTGGCAAACGCAAGTTTTGGACAGATCGTCGAACTCATATTCGCACTCGTCCGTGCTCTCCGCAATTTCTCCCAACTCTATTAAAAGATTTATATTTTTAATAAAATACTTAAACAAGGACATTGCATTTTACTTACCTGCAAAACATTTTCCATTTTTGGCATAGTATCCCTGGCGACAAAAGCAAATATTTTTGGAGCAAATCGAGTGCGGCAGACCCGAGCATGATTTTCCATTATCTGTACAGCTGCTGCCATCTAAATAAAAGAATATTGTCATTTAAAAAAGGATCTTTAAAATTTATTTTTTATTGAAGGTCGGATTGATTGGCCAAATATAAAACCCATAGAAAATTCCAACTTTCTAACTTTACAAACACCAAAGTTATGGCATTTCCGATCAATCAGTTATGGGCAGCTATAGGATATAGTCGGTCGATCCCGGCCGTTCTGACTTATATACTGCGTGCAAAGGAAAGAAGGGTGCGTGCAAAGTTTCAATACGATATCTTTAAAACTGAGAGACTAGTTCGCGTAGAAACAGACAGACGGACAGACAGACGGACGGACGGACAGACGGACATGCTTATATCAACTCAGGACTCGATCCTGATCAAGAATATATATACTTTATAGGGTCGGAGATGTCTCCTTCACTGCGTTACACACTTTTGACCAAAATTATAATACCCTCTGCAAGGGTATAAAAAGAAAGGGAATGGGAATTCACACTGAGTACTCGCACACTTCCCTTTCTGCTAAAGAATTCGCGTTTTGTGGTTTAATTTAAATAAAAGGAAAGGGAAAGAGTACTCACACTTCTTCTCATCAGCGTCGTCGTCATCCCGACTGGATCCCAGTGTGGAGTAGGTCTTGATGTCCTCGTCATCGAAGCGGAAGAGGGCGGGCAAGCGTCGGCGGTGCTTGTGGGCGTGGCTCTGGTTGCGGCTGGAGGTGCGCCGACTGCTGGTGCTCGTGGATGCGGTGGCGGTGTTGGTGGTGGCGGTGGCCGCGTTCCGCACGCTGCGGCCCACCTCCCTCAGCTCGTACTTCTCGATGCTCGTCTGGACGGCGATCTCGTGGGAACGCGGGGAGATGAGCGGCTCGGTGTCGCCGTTGGCGAGGGGGGCGAAGGACACCTGGGCGGCGGCATCGCTGTGAGTGGGCGGGGGGCGTGCACGAAGGCCTTGGTTAGCTGCCTGCGGCTCCTGAAGGTCGGCTGCTGAGGTTCAGACTCAAAGTCAGGCTCGGCGGTCTCGGTGATCGCCTCCGCTGTGGTCGAGTCCTCGTCCTCGCCCGGCGACCCCGGATTGGTGGTCTCCGTGTCCTCGGCCCCGGGGCCCAAAGTCGTTGTGATCTCGTCCACATAGGTGCATACTAGGGCCACGCACTCGGCACCGGCGCCCAGTGCATCACAGTCCTCGTTAACGACGCAGGCATCGCTTTCCTCTGCAATTTATAGGGTTATTGTTATTAAACAGATCAAATATAAATTTATAAATCGCTAAATTGCCTAAACCCGGCAAGCAATTAATGTTTAATTCTTCAAAATTAATCTAACAATCAATAAATATGAAATTATTTAGATATTACAAATATATTAGCTCGTTCTAATTAAACTTAGTTTTCACTCCATCTGGGTCTTTTAATATTTATAATTTCATGGTTGAAAATGAGTTTTATTTTATATTGTCTATTAAAAAAACGATTTAGGTAAAGGGCTAAAAAACTTTTATGTTCAACCATATCATGAATAAATTTTTGCTTTTTATACTAATAAATGTTAGGGGTCAAGCTATATTTTCTTAATATTTTGGTGATTATCAAAACTAAGTATTTTCTATTTAAATTCCCAGATTTATCTACAGATCATCCATCGTACTCACCCATTGATTTGCGACGGCAGATGTTTCCATATCTATTATAATAGCCATTTGCACAGCCGCACACGTTTTGTTGACAACTCACAGACGCACGATCGTATCCAAAATAGCAGTCCAAGTCCTGCGCAAATAGAGGATAATGTGTACCATTCAATTAAAAGGATGTATGGAACTTCTTACCGTTTCGCAGGACTCGCCGAGTCCGTTCAGTGGGCGACACTTGCCACGCAGATAGTTCTGGCCATCGGCGCAATCGCAGACCCCGGCTTTACAACTGGCCCCCGTTGGCATAAGATTGCACTGGACGCTGTCGTCGCACCGTTCACCAATGAGCGACGTCGCCAGGCATTGGGTGAAGTTATCCGCGAGCACCAAGTCGAATGTGGAGCACTCGCACTGCCCGCTGGCCAGGTCGCAGCTCGAGCCGTCAGCTGTGCAGTCCTCCGCACTTTCACATGGCCAAAATACGGCCAACGCGCCGCCGCCGCCTGCAATGGGTTAAGAATGGTTAAAAATTAACGTCTTGGCGGTGCCTGTGTCCACACTCGGATGTGTCGACCTAGTTTGGTTCCTCCATTCGCCCTGCTTAATTATTCAAGCCCGTCTCCAGTTCCCACAGAAGGTGGGGCACATTTTTGTTAATTTTAAATATCAGCAGCAACCTCAATTTTATAAAGTTCGAGTTTTTCTACAGCTAAATAAATTTAATTTGGAAAAACCCTGATCAAGATATACATAAACATCCTTAAGGTCTTAACCATTATTTCTTTAAAACGCCGAAGAAAATTGTCTCGTCGATAGAAAAAAGTTTAAGAATGGAATAATAAATTCTAGGTAACTAAATGAGAAAAGTGCGATGTATGCAATTCTGTATTATATATTTATAGCTGCCACGAATAGAGCTTTTAGTTTCTTTAACCACATTGTTAGGAACCCAATTAAGCTGAACTAGAATTCATTTCCTCACTACGAATAGTTAGTGTTTTCGTAAGTTAGAATAACCAGGGAATGGCTGCATGAAATAGGCCTAAGAAAGTGCATAATGTGTAAATTTTTTGCTTTTTAAATCGTTTTTAATGATATCACTTCTTGAAATAATCCTTGATGCGATAAATCTCTGATTGCACATTCTCGTCAAACTAGGCGGGGCCACGCTCAGTTATCTACCTGTCCAGCTGATTATTAACTTCATAAAAGGCAACCCCATCCTTTCGAGACCGAATTCCCCGCATCGCAACGCAAAGCTTCTTTTGGCACGCAACGTGTCGGGGCCGCAATTTATTACGTATACGCCAACGACTTCCGGATGAGGTTGCGGCAACGAAAAAATTTCCATACAAAAACAGTATCAACGCAGCCGCAACAACAGCGAGAAATGGTAATAACAATAACAATAGTACACAAAAGAAAAGCTGAATTTCGCTCGACGCTTAGCCACTTTAATTTCCATTTTCCGTGGCCGGCAAAACAATTTCTCCAATCGCAAAGGACCTTGGGACTTGGACTTTCGTGAGGGACTGCTCGTGGGTTGGGGGTGGCGGTGGGGTCAATAGGGCAAAGTACTTGACCTTGATTGCGTTTGCATTAATTACTCCGGTTCCTTTAATGTTATGACTGTCGAACGCCTACGATATTTGTACACCAATTTGTGCTGCCCTTTCGATGGCCTCACACCCGAATAATCGTGGCTTTAATTCAATTACCGGAAATCGCACGCAGCCACATGATTTCCCCCGACTTTTGTTTTTATTCCACTCTCCTTTTCTGTTACCTTGAGGATTGAGAACCGCACAACACAGGACGCCGAGCGTTAGTAACCATTGGAAGTTTGACATTTTCCCGGGGAGAGAATTTTTTCCCGAACTGCTGGCTAATATGGCCGAAAGGCAACTGACCACTTTCTGCGGAGATTGGACTCTATCGAGTGCTCAATTCCGGTTAATCTTATCTGCTAGTTGGCCATTAAAATACTCATACATTGATGATTAACCGGTGGCAGCTGTGGTGTTGGTCGATGGTTTTCCCAGATAATCCCAACTTAAATTACCGCGATGCGGAGTTTCAGCCAACGATTTTGGCCGAATGTCACCGGAATTGGTTGCCGGGGCTACAGTGATTACCCACTTTGATGGCCCATCGCCGGTCGGTGGCTATTTCAGGCGGTATCAGTAAGAGGCCACTTATCAGTGTCGGCACCTGGCTGTGCACACCTGTTCTTTTGCCTAATGGCTGTAGTAAAATGTTAACCCCTTCTGGTTTCCTTTCCAAGAGTTAACCTGATAACGCTGAAACAGCAGTTTTATATCGATGGTTAGACTCCAACACTAAATTAAATAAATAATCTATGACTCACACTATCAGAAAGCTTATTTTTTTTGTAATGGAATAATCTTGTAGCAATCACTGGCAATTAAATGTGTATTTTATATTTTGATAACTCAGCTAAGATTTATTCCACTATTTTAAGCAATTAAAGTTCGAGACATTTGGAAAATGGAATAATCTTGTAGCAATCACAGATAATTATTTGCATCGCTTTTATTTTGATAATTAAGCTAAGAATTATTCCATAATTTTGAGCAATTTAAATGGAAATAACCTTTGGAAATTTAGAAAATAAAATACCTATGTAGTCAACACTTATAATTGTTTGTATGGTTTATATTCTGATAAGTCAGTTAAGAATTATTCCGTAATTTGAACATCCACAACACCAACAAGGTTTGAAATTAATTTTTTAACAAACTGTTGTTAAATTTTAACTATTACAATCCAAATAATGACACTAAAATCTTCATCCTATTATTTCATAAACAGTATGGGAAAAAAGTTTACTATGTGCTCAGATATAATCACATACAGTTGCAGCTCAGGAAATTTAAAGGGATTCAATTGTTTTACTATCAAAAATCCATTTAAAATTTTTAATTAAAGAATCAATACTAAAAGTATAGCTGAATACTCTAAGATTTAAAATTTATTAAAAAAAAACAATTATTTTCATTGTATAAAAAATGCCTAGAATTTATCCAACAGCATCATTATTTGTTAAATCCCATTAGCGCCTGTTAGTATTTGGAAAAACTGTGGAACCTCTAGGATCAATAGAGACTGTTGTACTTTTATATTCTCAATATGTTGTCATCCGTGACGAAGAAAGGGCGTTTCACTTAGAAGGTCACTCTGCGTGTGCCCAATTTTCCATGGTCTTCTGAGCCTGCGCTTCATTCCGTTCAGGATCCACCGATTTTGTGGTAAGAACGACAAGCTTGATAATTACTAAGTGAAGTTTATTTATAGTTCAATATGAATTATGTGTTAAAAATAACAGAACAACGACGACTACTAATGCCGCAATTGGCGACCTTGAAAGTATTTATTGAATTGTCCATAACTAAAGAGCAATCGATGTAAATGGCGTTAAGTCGGGGCCAAATATTGACATCCTCAATAGAATTAACACTGCCCTTTAGCTTCAATGAGTGCAAAATGCAATCGGATGGCTATTGACTGACACCAAAAAGGTAACCCCTTCAGATTTAAGCAAAATACAGAGCGTAATAATGCGTGGGCTTCTATTGGTTTGTTGCCTTTTCCCGACAGCGTTCACAGTTTTCCCGCTAGGTGGTTTTGTTATTGTTTGGTGCTTTCCGTTCTGTTTTTTCAGTAACATAACGTAAAAGGACATTTTGTGGCTATAAAAATGCTTTGCCACGCACGCGATAAAGTGAAAGGAGCAGCGACAGGTGCAAAAGAAATTATAGCCCTTCCACCCCAACAACACATATTATATACAACTTTTTATAGACACATAGATATGGATTTGTATATGCCCAAAGTTATTCGGTACAAGTGCAAGGACGCACTTTGGAATTATCGACTTGTATTGTCCCATTTAAGTTCATGCTGCGATTGTCGTTCTACTCACATTTGGTTTTTTGTGACTCCTGTTGATGGTCTAATCCGGAAATTAAATAATCTGTTTTTGGTTTTATTTAGCACACACTTTTTACTGTTCTTTTTTTCTTAGCACTGTTGAATGTCTATTTTTATGCCATCAGAGGATCTCTGAATAATTTTAATTTATCATTGATTAAAAATGTTGCCAGTTTGGCTTACATCTCGAGTCCATCTTTAATCAACTAATGCATGCAACAGTGAAGTCAACAAATAATACTAATAATAAACTAAATTAGTGGATTTCAAGAACACATGCTAGTGGGCTCGTTAGTAAGCTGGGAATGGATATGGGGATGGTTATGGGAATCGAAATGGGAATGAGTTCCACATTCGATATGTAATAAATGACGCCCTATTAATGGCTTTGTATTGGTGAGACCCCCTCACTCGTTGGGTTTTTTTGATGTGTTGGTGATTTTGGTGTGGTTATGCATATAATGGATTGAAATACGTTAAGCGTTGGCGCGCTGAATGTGATGACCTCCATGACCCGTAGTCCACGGGAAACACGTTTTTATTCTCCACACAGAATCGATACTCATTAAAGTTTTGAGAACAAATTACCCTAGTATGGGTATAATTATGTAATAAAGAAATTTAATTTCTTTACTTTTTTCGGCACTGCAAATCTTTCGTTAGTTTGGTTGTCTTACACACGAAGTTTTTAATTAATTTAATAAAGTTTTCTAGTTTAAAAAAAATATGTTGCGTTGCCGATTGGTCAATTAGCTGGCAAAATATCACTTCATTTTTTTACGCGCGATTCGTTAGTACAGGACTCTTTTCAAATCGCGAACCACGAACGAACCTTGATCCTTTCGTAGCGAGCTTCAAGCCGCTACTAATGGGTTTACCTTTAACTTCGTATGTTTACGACTCTCAACGAAAACTCTCTCCAACGAAAACTGAGCGGAATGCGAAAGTGAGAGTGACACCGGGAGAGCAGGTGAGAATGTCAAAATAGGACGAAGGCGGTAAATACACCCACAAAAAGAAAGCTAACATTTTTTTTTGATTAGATTTAAATTTATAAGATTTAGATTTATTAGATTTATTTAGTTTTAATATTTTATTAGATTTTAATATTATAATCGGAGCTTACAGCCAAATTCCATAGCTCGAAGTATATTATGTTATGATATGTGTTAATATTGATAAATGGATTTCCAGCAAAAAGCCTTAAAATAGCAACAAATTTTGACATTTTTTTTTTTAGTTTCTATTTTTGCTATTTTAAAGTATATACTTAAATACAAAACTTAACAAAGCTGCCAAAACTAGATTACATTTAGGCGAACCTTAAACTTTTTTTTTATTTTTATACCCTTGCAGAGGGTATTATAATTTTGGTCAAAAGTGTGCAACGCAGTGAAGGAGACATCTCCGACCCTATAAAGTATATATATTCTTGATCAGGATCACCTCCTGAGTTGATATAGCCATGTCCGTCTGTCCGTCTGTCCGTCTGTCCGTCTGTCCGTCTGTCTGTCCGTCTGTCTGTCCGTCTGTCTGTTTCTACGCGAACTAGTCTCTCAGTTTTAAAGATATCGAATTGAAACTTTGCACACACCCTTCTTTCCTTTGCACGCAGTATATAAGTCGGAACGGCCGGGATCGGCCGACTATATCCTATAGCTGCCATATAACTGAACGATCGGAAATGCCATAACTTTGGTGTTTGTAAAGTTAGAAGTTGGGATTTTCTATGGGTTTTGTATTTGGCTAATCAATCCGACATGCCGAATTTCATAAGGATCGGCCGACTATATCCTATAGCTTCCATATAACTGATTGATCGGAAATGCCATAACTTTGGTGTTTGTAAAGTTAGAATGTTGGGATTTTCTATGGGTTTTATATTTGGCTAATCAATCCGACATGCCGAATTTCATAAGGATCGGCCGACTATATCCTATAGCTGCCATATAACTGATTGATCGGAAATGCCATAACTTTGGTGTTTGTAAAGTTAGGAAGTTGGCATTTTCTATGGGTGTTATATTTGGCCAGCCTATCCGACCTACCAAATTTCATAAGGATCGGCCGACTATATCCTATAGCTGCCATATAACTGAACGATTGGAAATGTCATAACTTTGGTGTTTTTAAAGTTAGGAAGTTGGGATTTTTTATGAGTATTAAGAATGCATCATATGAATAATTTTGGAGAATATAATTTACAGAGAATTCTGCAAGGGTATATCAACTTCGGCTCCGCCCGAAGTTAGCTTTCCTTTCTTGTTTTAACTTTATTTCATTTTATGGATTAAGTTAAAATCTCAACATTTTCTAACCTAATGTTAAATAAATTAAACATTTAAAATAAATAAGGTTCAAAAAAGAATGCAACAAATGTTATCGATCACCAGTACTGCTTTCGAAAACCTGTTGTAATTTTTTTCGAGTGCAGTTGAGAGCGGGAAACACTTAAAACGCGACTCGTGGTTCAGACACGTCTTCGGGTCCTAATTGTTAAGGTAACTATATTTTGAGCCGCTGGCAGAGCAACAATTTTCCGCCCTTCAACTGTCGTGTCATGAAAACCATGCACTATTAGAGGGCTCATAAAGTTCTCGCAGAAAGAAAATCCCACTCACCAAAGATATGAAAATGAAAGAGCAAAAATAAATTATAGAAAATTACTTTTAAGCACTTTGCCAAGTTTTTATTGCAAAATAATGATTTCCGACCAAAAGAGGCTACAACTTTACATAAGCGGCAATAAATCCCTGCCAGAAACTGTAGAAGAAACAAATTTGGGTCAAGTGGCCTCATTGGAATTGAACCCTCTACAAATTTTGGACAGCACTTGTTTGCTCTCCATCTCCCTCGCTCTCTTTTGGCCAGGTGGGAATACAAAGGATTCGTCGGAAATGGTTAGCCACAAAAAAAATAAATGAAAAAAATACATGGAGTAAAAGAGCGCGGGAGTGTGTGAAAATTGGGGCTTGGGGCTAACCTATTTACCTGGAACGGAATCCAGGATAATGTTGGTCAGCAAAAGTCAGGTGGGTGTATGCGTGTGATATCCGGATATACAGCGTAATATTAGGAGCTTATCCGGGATTCCTAATGTTTTTGTTGACTATGGTGTCGTGGTCATTGGTAATGTAGAACTTTCAATTTACAGAGCGTTTTTAATAATGCAACAATTTGCCAGACTGCATTTTTAACTAAATGTTGCTTACTCGTTGTTTATTGGTTGAGAAAAAAACACAGTAATCACTTTAAATCAATGAAATATTTATAAATAATTCATTATTAACTACAATAGTCTCAAAATGGCGATTAAAGGCGGATCATATGCTCTCTTTCGACACATTGTTTAGGTCATTAAGGGTCCTTCGATGGCCCCATTTGCCATCTGCCGTATTTGTGGCCACTTACTAACTAACAATGTCAACAGTTACCTAGGATATCACACCATACATATAAGTATAACTTCTGACATATACCTCTCCTTTCGCTAGCAATTGCCAAAGTTTGCTTAATTATAACTTTCGTTGTATGGAATTAAATGTAAATAATATTTTTACTTATAAATTACCTCTTGTAATGATTTAAATAGTTTGGAAATGTTGTAAATTTAATACCATTTAAAAAGAAGTTCTACTGTGGCACATGTACAGAGCGTCACCCTCTCTTTTGGTGTTAAATTTTGTCATTTTCAGTTTTAGAAAAAGCATGTCCAATGTACACAACATTTGTTTTTTACGACCAAAGGGAAAGTGGGTGAGAGTGAGCGTGGAAATTGGTTGGATTTTCCCGCTCGCAGTTGGCTCGGCAAAAAAATGGACTCCCTGGTGGCCAAAATGGTTATTTTTAGACCGAAAACAAAGTGTTCTGCTGGCCAGGACACGCGACCAGGACAAGGTAACGCTAACGGCGGAGTAACATGTTGGCTATGCAAATGCAAACAATGCATTGCCCTCGAGATTCGATGTCGACATATGCGCTCACAGCAAATAGGAATACCTGAATACGGAATCCCTCCGAAGAGTGAAAAACCGGAATGGAGGACGCGAAGTTTAGTCACTCGAATGGGGCGACATATGCGGCGTATAAATAAAAAATCAATCAAAAAGTCTGTAAATGTGTAAAACGTCCCAGTCCAAGTCGTGGTACCCTGCCCACTCCCCATATGCATGCCAAATGAGCTAACAACAATAGAACATCACAGAAACAAAAACAAAAACAGAAACAACGACAACTAACATTTGCGGCTCATACAAAATTCAAAATTTTAATCGAAACATAGTGCAGGCGGAGCGAAAAATAGAACACGGTGCATTGAGACTAAGCGATGCTACCAACTAGATAAGCAAAGTCCATACAGTTGTCTGCAAACGCATAGGAGCATATAAATATGGTAAAAATAATGATAATTGATATGCAAAAAAAGCCATGTTAGTAAGTACTTAATATATAACTAATATAGAAATAATTTTATTCTAAATTGTTGTTCATTGCTTTTTATAAGAAATTTGGTTCATTTTAATGTACTAGCTATTAGCTATTTTATCCTAATGCCAATAGCTAAACAAAAATGCGTTTTAAAATTTAGAAGCAATTGTACAAAATTTACAAAAAAAAAAAAGTATGTAGATGCATACACCTATTGCTTAAATATGTACATATGTAGTTAAATAGAAATAGTCCTACCGTTTAATTCATTTTCTGAATAATTCATAGTTATTAAATATTTCCTTTTGCACTTGTATTTCTTTCTTAAGTATTATTTTTATTATTTTGTAATGCAAAGGGGTAGAAATTAAATATTATCAGAATTTAAGTGCAGTGGTAAATATTTTATAAGCTTACCATTTATTTGCAGTGCAGCTAGTTGAGTGCCCGACGTGTGTGAATCCAAGTTTATGGGGGAAGACATGGCTGACACGGGCCACGTGAAAGCCAATTGGCTGTCAGGACTGGACTGGTCAAAGCGTGCACTTTGACCCGACTGCACCTCGTCCCCCCTTTCTCCTTACAAAGGCAGCACAAATCGGAACGTGAAAAACGTTTTCCGACATGCCGTGCATAATACACCAACATGTTGTTTAAAATCTTTTCTTGATATTGCTTTCCCTCTGTTATTTATATTACTTTGCTTTTCTTTCCCATTTCGAACGTGTTTCTTAACTAAGATGAGCAATCTGTATAGGATTGTTTACGCGGTAGAATATATAATTAATGTGTTTGCGATCCTGAAACTTATAAATGATGTTTTAAAAAGGATATTTAACATAAAAACAAAATTTGTTAAACTTTAATTCAAATTGCATATATAGTACTCCGACCAAACGTTATAAATTTTAGCATTATTTTTAAGGCATTTTTAACAAGAAAGTTACATTAAATTTAAAAAAATTCCTTTTTTCTCTACTTATTTTATTAAGAGTACCTAAGCTTATGCGTTGTAGGCACTCGGAAAAATATTTTCCAAAAATAATTCGATAACTAGGGCTAACAATTAATTGTTGTACGTAGAAAAATCTTGACACAGACCATATATAATACTTATCTTCATTAAAACTTTAAATAATTGAAACTGTTTAGGTCATAGCTTTTAGACGGCTAACTGAAAAAGATAAATAAGAGAGGTTCAAGCTCTCTGAGATTCGTTTTAGTTGCGAATTCTTATCGCCAATGACCGTCCGTTTTACATGTGTTTTGCTTTCGTTTTTTTGGCGTCTGTCTCTTTTACAGTTTCCAGATAAATTCTATTCTCTATATTCCGGCGAGAGCACGACGATAAACTAGCCACCAAATCGTGACAAATAGCAAATTATTTCGCGTTGTAACATCTTTAACCGATCGACAGGCGTTTGCAGTTGCTTTGCCGACGAAATGCCAATCAGTCGCTCCATAGCTCAAGTTACGCTTGGTTAAATGTATAATTTTTGTCAAGTGTTTTGTACCTATGTTCAAAAAAGTGTTCAATTAAAATTGCTGCAAAATGGGCAGTAAGTCGTGGACCCTGCCACGCCCCTCCCAGTCGAGTGTGTCCACCCACAGGCTCCTGGGATCCGTGCGTTTGACCTATGCGATTTGCGCATTCCTCGCCACTTGCCTCCATGCTGCCATGAGGAACATGCTCGGCATGATCATCCTGAAAATGGTTATGCCACGGCCGGAGGATGCTCTGAATATTTCGCCAGATGTGGCTCGAATGCCAGGGAGCAATACCACCACAGGCTCTCGGACTATTCCTAATCCACTAATGCAAGAAACTCTGGCAAGTTTTTTAACCACAACCGTGCAATCCTAATCTTCAAGTAAAATACTATTAAACTGGATATAGTAGAGTATCAAATCTTCCAAGAATCGGCAAATTAAAAAACATTCAAAACGACTTTTAGTACTGAGTTTTAAAAACAAAACAAACATTTAGCATTAACAATCATTTAAATCTTAAATATACATATTTTTTTTTAGTGAAATATTTTTTTTTGGAAGAAAACTTGTGCTGTAACAATAACGTATAATATCTGTCTCAAATTTAAAATATGAGTTTAAGGTAATTTAATTCTAGTGATTTCAATTCGCTCATTTTACTTAGTTTGATACAGAAAACAAAAATATTTAAAATTGAAACTAATATATTTATTTGACAACTGCTCAACTTGTAAAATTCTGTTTTAATATTTCAGTTTGTAATAATATTTACAGACAGGCGACTTACCATGGACTCGGAACCAGGAGTTGACATTTCCCGGGGTTTACTACTACGGCTACGTGGTGTCCATCTCTTTGTCCGGCTATCTGGCGGATCGATGTAGCAGCAAAATGCTTTTCAACGTTTCGCTAATCTTCGAGGCGGTGGCCTATATTCTTCTCCCAGCGATGGCCCATTTTAGTTTCGAGATGGCGGTGGTCAATCTTGTCATATGCGGCCTGCTGGCGGTAAGTAGAAACAGAGTTATTATAGTATTCAATCCATTTAACTAGTTGTTCTGTGCTTGCAGGGCAGCGGTAATCCCGCGATGTACAAACTGTTTGTCACCTGGGCTCATCCCACAGAACGAACGGCGCTCCTTTCCTTCGCCTACAGTGGCATCCTGATGGGCTCCATTTTGGTTTATCCGGTGGCCAGTTATCTGAGCAACTTTGGCTGGGAGCTGTCCTTCTATGTGGTGGGCGGAGTATCTCTTGTTTTTGGCATAGCCTGCTGCTTTCTCATCTACGACACTGTGGAGCAGCATCCGCGCATCTTGGAGGAGGAGGTGGATTACCTGCTACAAGGAAACAGTAATTTAGGTCCTCAGAAACAGCAAGTGAGTGCTAAAATGAATAAATACAATTTCGTCTTAAACAAATTGAAGAGGTTTAACAAAAAGGTAGATCATGAAGAATTATTTTCTTTAAAATATTACCATAAAAACGTTTATTGTTTTTATGAGGTATATAATACTAGACATTTCTCCATGACCTATGCTTTTGGGGTTCCCAGTCCATACAACGATCGTAAGATTTGTTTAATAATATTTATTCTAGCTTTTACACAAATCTTACTGTTGGTATTACTATATCCAGAACTATTTTTCCAATACACTCTTTTTGTAAGAGTTTAAAGCCTCTAAATAAGTGTAAATTATTTTAAGATCCGTAATTAAGATTTCTTATAAGGTCCCTTACCATTTCTCTTAGGTGCTGAGAGTCCCATGGAAGAGCCTGCTAACCTCTCCGCCCACGTTCGCCTTTGTCCTGACCCACATGTTCCACACCTACACTTTTCTGGTGATCGCTCTCCTGATGCCGCGATTCATGCGCGAGGCCATGGAGTTTGATCTGGGTAAAGTGGGTTACCTCTCATCGGCTCCCTATCTGGGCGGGATCTGCTCAAAGGTGGTGTGCATCCTGGGTGGCAGCTACGTGGAGCGACGTGTGGGTCCCGACCAGAACTGTATGCGACGAATGCTGTACGGGATCTGTAAGACTAACAGTTTATACTTTATTATACTTCCTAACTTATGTAATTGTTTAACAATAGGCGGCATTCTGACCTCGTTATTTATTGGCGTCATCATCCTGGCGGATTATGGAGACAAAACACTGGTCCTGGTGATGTTTGCCCTCATGATGGCCTCTACGGATATGGGTTTCAGTGGCTACTGGCCCACGCTGCTCTACTTTGCGCCTTCGTTCGCGGGTTTAGTTTCGGGATTGGCCAATGGAATGGCCCATCTCTCCGGGTTTCTAGCTCCTCATCTCGTCGCCGCTTTGGTGGACACTGTAAAGTTAAAAGGACTTATTTTGGGATTTACATAATAGAGTCATTTTATACCTTGCAGGGCACCAAGGACGAATGGAATAAGGTGCTGTTCACGCTGATTGCCTTTAACACGCTGGCCATGTTGGTGTTCGGACTCTGCAGCAGTACCAACCTTCAGTCTTGGGATCCTAGCAGCGAAAAGCAGAAACCTAGGTCAACACTAACTTAAACAAATTAATAGTTAGCTTTTCGTTATGTATTTATGTTTTATTTGTTTTTACTTTTTCTGTATTTTAAATGCGCGCCAAATTCGTTCAAACCTCTGTGCCTTTAATTAAGTAAAGAAGTAGTTTCAAAACAATTATTAAATTAACACAAAATTAATACAAAAATACTTTTTTTAAAAAAAAGGTAACTAAAATGGTCACACATTTTAATGTCGAATTTTTCATATCACTGTTTCATTCCTCCGAATTTAAGATATTTTTTACCAAGGATTTTAAAAAACATTAATAAATCAAAATTTTAAACAGTATCGTTTTTTGGGCTTATCGATAGTTTCTGGACTTTATAAAGCAGGCGAACATTTCTTTTTCCAAAAGACACTTCAGGGTTTTGTCCTAACAACTTATAAATATTGAAATTGACAAAAATATGCTTTAAATCATACACCTATTGAAGGTCGATGGCGCATCAGATGTTTGCTGTGCGAGTGATCTCTTAAAAATTTATCAGTAGCTGTATGTTTTAACGTATAATTTTGCCAGCCCTCAATTTCGGTTTGAGTCACGGGTAAAAAATTAGCACAGGCAAAAACCGTGGTTTTACTAACTTAAATGGTAAAATATTTTCTTTGTAAATTTACGTTTTTACAAATATTTTCATATACCCGACTTATATTTGTGGCAGCCCTGATTTGAATATGGAGAAATATCGATACACGCAAAAACTATCGATGCGTCGATAGTGCAATCGATGTTTCTTCACTTCTGCCCTACTTGCTTTATTAATCATTTCAATTTTTTCAATTCGTTTGCTTGACGTTCACGGACGTGTATCCGCACACAGCACTTACTCGAATACATTTCGCAATATATATATCAAAATTCTTCGTGTGGATTCTTTCTGGATCGGATGCAACGCTAAATTGCCTGTTTTCCTGCTTTTCTAACGACGCCAAATTCTCAGTGCAAGACAAAAACGACTATTAGCAATACAACAAATTCACCATCGATAATAACAACAAGTCGCCCGGAGGCATTGGCTCCAAAATATAAGGTGGAAAATCGGACAAGCTTCTCGACGCGATTGGAAGTAAGTAGATCAGTTCGGACCGAAAGGATCGAATCGTAATCGGGTAATCTGAAGTTAAATAAACATATGCAGAAAACATATGCAGGGAAAGGCGGAAGTCTGAGAACTTGGCTTCCTGGTTTTTCATTTGCCTTTTGCCGCTTCCGCCAAAACACTTAAACGTTCACTTAAAACCGCTTCTTGACAAATCAATAAAGGCCAAGTGTCGGATCGGCCATTAACTTAGCGTCCCTGTATGCACACAACAAAAATTGGTACCTTAAATGATTTTACAAATCTTTATATCAATATAACAAAATTTACCACGCAAAAAAAAGGTAAATTAATGATTTTAATGATGTTACGTTTAATTTTTTTAGTGCGTAATTGTAATACGTATAAAATATAATATCAATATTTCTAAACATTTTTTTTTTAATTCAAATATTTAAATAAACAAATCCAAATTTTTTTTTACCAAAAGCGGAACAAATGTAGAATTCAACTTGATGTAAAATTATTAACATAACTATGTACATATATATTATATGATGCTTTTCAATGCATACTAGTTTCTATAAATAAAATTTTGGTTTGCTAAGAAATATATTATATTTATGTAGACTTCAAACTCTAATGTCCGAATTTGACCGTGAATTTTGTACCTGTTATTTTTTCTTGTGTACGTGTGCGTAGGCTTGACTCCAAGTACACGAACCCGAAGAATATTAATGTTTAAACTTTAAACACTTGTTACCTTGAGCGAAACGCGATGTATTGTATTATCATTGCCGCTGCTGTATTTGTTGTTTGTTTTTGGGTTGAGGGAGGTTCATTCAATCGTGCACACCAACACAAGTCTACTTAAAAACCTATGTGTGTATGTGCTGCTACTGTTTACCTCCTTTGTGTTTTATGCATATTTACTTAATGTATGCATGCATTTCGTCGAATCCGCCTTGCAAATACATTTTAATTTTCGCAATTTAATTTAAAATATGGCAGCTTAACTTCTACTTGCAATTCGGTGGGTAAACTTTTGCGTGTGTGTGGCGGCACGTACACCAACAAAGGGACAGGGTTGCCAACTCAACTTTTGTTTGCAAGTGTTTTGTTTTGCTGATAAAAAGCAGCTGATTTCTATAAATAATTAAGTAAACAAGAAGTGAAAAGCAAATAGTTTTATATATTGATAGCGTTAATAAACAGATAGACTTTACTGTTATTCAATTTGATAATAAGCAAGGACTCATATAAAATAATAGGAAAGAGTAAAAAAATTACAATACAGTCCAATTAATTTTTGGTAAGTTTAAAAAGTTAAAAACCAACAAAATTCTAGCCAAGTGAATAAAGTTTCTATTCATACATGTGTATAATAGGATCGTAACCATCCAGCTCTTTGCAGCCATAACTAAAATTGTAACGGTTTTTTATCTGACAATATTATGTAAGGAATTTAAATTAAAAAATAAACGAAATTGACTGTTTAAATACTGCCTTAAGAGAACTTACTCGAGCTGATAGTACGACTAATTATAATAAAATATAAAACCTGTCACGGCCAAGTTAATAATTGCGCCAATGAACCCCGAAGTTTTGACCGATGACGATCATCGCCTTTGGCTTATTGCGTTTTTGCATAAAATCGCTCTGTTGACTTTCGTGTTATTTCACACGTTTGCTTGTTTTTCTTTGTGTTTGTAGCTGATAACGGCACTTCTATACGCCATAAAATGTTTAAAGAGTGTTAGGTGTGATACGAGATTGGTATACCGTCAATCGGCATAAGTTTCCTCTGACCTGAGTCGGAATATATATGCATACAAACACTTATTTGGGGCTCTTTTCGCTCTTGCACTAAAAGCTGAGTCATTTTGTTTTCAAATTTTTGTGTGCCGCGGCCACAACGCAAAAAATAGACATGGCTCGCGCATAAACAAAAAATCGTTGCGCAAAAAGAAAAGAGAAAATGTTCGTTTATTTATATAAACAAATAGGTATTAGTGTACTCTTACCTGTATAAGTGCGATTTTTGTTTTGTTTATCTCGTGAGATTGACGGCAAACCGGTTTTTTAGAACGCAAACACAACTGGTCGGCTTCTTGCCGGTTAAATACGATTATATATTCAAATACAGAAGAGCTTGACTAAGTCAATCTAAGTTAATTTTTATAACACTTGCTTGAAATTTGACTGACTAGAAATATTGCAAGATTCGTATTAAACAATTAAAATATTAAGATTTATTCAATATTCTCCCGAATAAACCGTAACAACGGCCAGTTTCAACATTATATTTGCAGTTTTTACTTGTAACGGCTAATTGCGTTCAAAAAAGACAATTTTGTCGTCAGCAAGCAGTACAAAAGCAAGCAGTAATAGGTAAATGTATAATTAACCTGCTCTTAAAACAGACGGATTGGATTTTTTGATACTAAGCAAAGAGTAGGCTTTGAGAAAAATGTTCAAAAACTCTGAACAATCCGTTCAGAATAAACTCTGAAACTCCTTAGATTATGTGGTAATGAAATTTTTTCAAGCTATTTGTAATCCAATCAAATGTTCATAGAGGACATTTTTCCGTGGAATCCCAGAAAAAGCTGGGCTTTACTAATTATTCATTTTAATTTTTGCGATTTGTGTGTGCCAGTTTTTGTCTAGTGATATATAAAACCAACTTCCTTTATAAGTTCACTTAATGTAATCCGAACCAAATCTTCTTGCAGCAAATATCATGTTGTTAAAAGTGCCATCTGTGGACTGGACGGATCAAATAATTTACGTGGTGGACGATGACGAATCGCTGTCAGACATCGACGATGAGCCAGATTTCTCCGAATACATGTGGATGGAGAACGAGGAGGAGTTTGACAAGAACGTAAGATTAAAAGCTTATACAACTCAATAGGTTTTTTACTAAAGTAATCGGATTTAGGAACTACAACGCCTGGAGGAGGAGGAGATCATGCAGGAGTGTTTTGAAGCAATGATCGAGGACGAGCTGGAAGAGCAGATCAACGAGTGGGAAAAGGCCAAGTGAGTTGTGCCCACCTAACTCCCATATATAAGTCGATACTAATCCATTGTTGCTCTCCTTTCCAGAACGGACGAACAGAACACGGCACTTTCCGCACTACCGAAAAGCGATTGTAATGTGGAAAAGTCTGTTCTGAATCCCATGGCCGATGAGTTTATTCCGCGTAGTCATATAATGGATTTCCCTGCCTCATAAAGCCTGCTCATCCTTTTCCCGCCACAGAACCACAAACCACCCCGCCCCATAACACGTGGACCTCATATGCGAAAATCCTAAGATAAACTCAAGATCCTTTGCTAAGGCTCGACTAAAAAAAACCGCCAATGAGATTGAGATCCTGACCAAGTTGAGCAGCAAGAGCATTCGGAGGAAGAAGCTCATGATTAACTAATTTCTAGATTGACAAAAGCTGGAAGAAAACTTTAAAGATTCTAACCAACTCCAAATGCTGGCGACCGAAATGCAAACGAATCATATTTTTAAAAACCATTATAAAAAAACACAAAATCACTGCAGAAATATAAAAAAATGTTCAAAAGAAGAAACCAACAAACAAAAAAACACAACTACAAACTAAGACCAGACAAATAACAATTAACAACTATGCCACGTACATCATAGTACATTGTAATTAGAGTTAAACATGAAATTGTTTGCCGAGGAATGCGGAGCCGGAGCCCCAGAAATTCCGAAACCAAAATGTTACCGAAAACGCAGACGCAGGCGCTTGCTGAAGCTAGTGAAAACTTTGGTATTAACGTACAAAACGAAAAACAAATGACTTTTTACACGCGACTAACTGAGTCGTGACTTCTATGAACCTAGAAGCAAAGCAACTAAAACTAAAACTAAAATTACACCTAAAATACGCCAATTTCCAGCTAAAGCAACTGTAAGCAACAAACAAGACTCGATTGTGTTAGAAACAAACCAAGAAACGAACAGAATTTGTAGCCGTCATGTCGTTAAATTGAAATTCTATTCAAAGACTTTAATTGTAGTTTAAATTGTATTTAATTTAACGTCCAACCCACTGTCTACACTCGTTTTAAGTTGACCATTTTGTGGAATATACATGTTTACTAGTTTTTTTTTATATTTTTGCACCATTGTTAACTCGTTGTACGTTCTACGCCCAAGTTACAAGAAGCGCTTGTTAACTTCCCTTCTGACTCTCGCAATACTTGTAATTTACAATTGTAATTAGTGTACTAAAACGAATTGAGATACTAATGTTTAACGCCTCTTTATAACAAAAGCAAGCATAAATATGTATAACTAGTGTTAATGGAGATGATAACAGACAGAAAAACAAACGCTGCAATAAGTAATTCTAAAATTAAGTAAAAAATCATTTTGAAACGTTTGCCCTGGAGCAAATGCACAAACCCCCAATTGATTTTTTATTCACATCGTTAAATTTCATTTCGGCATGTAGACAAAAATGAATTTCTATTTTTCAATCAACTTAGATTTAGTGACTTAAGACAGCATTAAAAGATCTACTACATTACTTACGTTACGTGTGATATAAAGATACAGAAAAAACCAAGCAAAAAAATATCAAAAATGATTTTAAAAATCTCAATAAAAAGTATTATTATAGCATAAAACGTTGTGTTTTATATTATTTTTAGTTAAGGCATACCCCTGGGGATAATAGGAATACCAAATGGACAACCTTTCTTTTATTTAAGAATAACAAAATATCTATCATCTTTTTCAAAACAATCAATATAAAAAAGATTGAAAATTAATCTATTAATTAATAATAAAAAATATTCTCAAAAAAGACGAACTATGACCCCTTTTTTAACACTAATTTAACTAAATTTTAAATTATCCTGTTCTATTTTGTAACGAATTTCAGAAATTCAGTTTTAAGTATATACCAAAAGTATCCATGATTAAACAAAAAAGTACCACGATATCGATAACTTTTTTGAATATATTTTCACATCCCTATTTTACTTCAGATGCATTTGGTCCGCACGTTACAAACAGAGTTTAATTTCACAATTAGTCTTTGTCAAATATATTAAGTTGTACTAAATTCCCGTGAAAATCATTAAGAGGCCTCTCCCAAGATGTTCACGCCCAACACGAACGCTCCCATTGGAGGCGCAACTACAGCTGGCGCCTTTGCTTTTGGCGCGCGACCGGCGACCACGACTGCTCCTCCTCCTTCCTTTGGTGCGGCGACCGCCACCACGTCCTTTGGAGCTGCTCCTGCTGCCACCTCCTTGTTTGCAGCTCCTGCGGCCACGCCTGCCTTTGGGACACCAGCTGCGACGCCCGCTTTTGGAGGAGCACCAGGTGCAGCGCCTGCCTTTGGAGTAGCTCCCTCTGCTACGCCTGCCTTCGGAGCACCTCCTGCTGCAGTTCCCGCATTTGGAGCACCAGCCGCAACTACGGGCTTTGGCGCACCAGCTGCCACTCCGGCCTTTGGGGCACCAGCTGCCACTCCGGCCTTTGGGGCACCAGCTTCCTCGCAAGCGCCGGCCTTTGGAACACCTGCACCCGCCGTGGGCACTGTGGCCCCCACTTTCTCCTTTGCCACTCCAGCCACTAGTGCCCCGACCACAGCTCCGCCTGCTTTTGGATTTGGTACCACAGCCACTACGGCTGCAGCTACGATGCCAGCATCCCTGGGCTCCGGCATTGGAAGCTTCGCGTTTGCCAAGCCCCAGGCCACAACAGCGGCCAGTTTGAACTTCAGTACCAACACGACGACGGCTACGGCACAGCCCTTAAATACGGGTCTGAAACTGGGAACCACCAACGCGATGACGGCCCTCGGGGGAGGTGGAATCTTTGGCAAGCCTGCGGGACAGGGAGCAGCCCCGCCAGCCTCGACTTTTGTGGGTCTTGGCGGGATTGATGTGAGTGCCACGCAGCCCAAGTTGGGGGATAACAAACAGGATGGCATTAAGGTGAGTCCCTGATAATATCTAAAAAGAATCAAGAGATTATTGATCTATCCCCTCTAGATCAAAGAAACCCAAGTCCCAGACGAGATAGTCAAAACAGTGGATGCCTTGAAAGCGTACATCAAGCAGCAAAAGACGATTTCCTCCGATATTGGCAGGACTTCCACGTCCAAGTTCACCAATGTGAGCCACGAGATCGCCAACTTGAAGTGGGCTCTGCAGAATATGGCCAACTCAGTGGAGGGAAACAATCAGCAGATCCGGCTGATGCGCCAGGAGACGGCCAAGGCGATCCAATCGCTGGAGATGGCCCAGCGCACACAGGACACACCCGCTGGCTTGCAGTTCGAGCACAGTGCTCCCTTCCAGTACTTTCAGTGCCTGGTGGCCAAGTACGAGCAGGATTTGATTGCCTTTCGCCAGCAGATTGCCCTGACCGAACGCCACATGCACGCGCTGTCCAATCCGCAGAGCATTTCGCCTGAGGATCTAAAGCGTGGCTTCCGCCAGCTAAACGAAAGCTTCATCTCGCTGGCGGGCCGGCTGCACGAGTTGCACCAGCGGGTGGAGGAGCAGAAGGAGCACTACCTGAACCTAAGGCGCTATCGATTGCGCGATGCCACTAACGTTTTTGAGCGGATCGACAACCCTCCGCTGCCGTCGGTGGAACCCCAAAGGATTAGCAGCGGTCCAACGCCCTTCTCCAACATCTCGGCTTTTATGAATAAGTCTTATGCAGCGGGGGCCAATTCCGCCAGCAATGCGACAGCCAAATGAGATAGAATTGATTTCCAGTTTGAATAAATCATTAATTACAAGACATTTCAGACATTCGGTTTTATTTAAAGCATAGAATATATATTTCATCTGCAACAATCTTCACTTCTTTACCACCTGGATGACGTCCTCGTCGGCCATCACGTGGGCGATTCCGACGCGCTGCGGCGAGTATTTCGTGGATGTGCCCCAAACCAGGGCGTACTTGAACTGGGCTGCCAGGGTGCGATGAATGGCGTGGCACACGTGCTCCACACTGACGCCCTGAGAAAAAAAGAAAGTCATATTTTATTTGAGTTTTGACAGGACATCGGGGATAATTAGGAAATCTAAGATTGAGAACTCGATTTTATGGCAGCTTTATAGTTAAACTTAAACTATAAACCAAATAGGTTTTTTTAAACAATCAGTAAAAATAGTTTTAATTTATTAAATCTAATTTGATATAAGAAAATTTAGTGTAACCCATGATTACTTTATGTCATCTATATTTCAATTTAATTTTTTAAAATTCATCTAATAATCCGTCAAATGTAAGCACCAATATTACAGAGACAAAAAACGGATTTGTACGCAATTAATTCCTAATTGTAGCGATGGTTTCAAATGGATTTTTGGAAACACAACATTAAAATTCCTATAAATTGCTAACGTTATCTAATGAAAGACATTAAATCGGGATTTATATGACCGAACTTGCATGTACAAAAAATTTAAATTATTTAAAAGTTTTAAAGGACCTTCGTTGAAGAAACTGGTATGTTGAGTTGTAAAAGTAAAACCATAAATATCTTGCCTTTCTCAGAATCAGTCCGTCGTCAAAGTCCGGCGGAGCGCCCGGCTTCTTTGTGTAGACCCTGATGAGCTGTAGCGCCTCCCAGAGCGCCTCCAGCATGTAGTCCAGATTGAGCTTCATGTTGCAGCTAACCACTATCGAGTTCGGCTGGCGCGCCAGGCGGTCCACCTCCTCGATGGAGATCTGATCGATCTTGTTGTAGACGTACAGACAGGGCAGATACACACGGTTGGCGGTGACCACGTCGATGAACTCGTCCTCGGTGCAGTCCTCGCGAAAGAGCACTTCAGCGTTGAAGATCTTGAAGGAGTGGAGGATGGTCTGGACCATTTTCTCGTTGCAACGTGTCAGCGAACAGGTGGCATTGAAGCTCAAGCCGCCGCCCTTCTTCTGCTTGAAGTAGATGTTGGGTTTGCGCTTGTTTAGCCGAATGCCCACGCACTCCAGTTCTCGCTCCAGGAGCTCTCGATGGACATTTGGCTTAGTGGCATCGAGCATCATCAGTACCAGGTCGGCGGTACGGGCAACGGCGATGACCTGTCGACCACGCCCCTTGCCCTGGGCGGCGCCTTCGATGATACCAGGCAGATCCAGCAGTTGTATATTGGCACCCTGATACTCGATGACGCCCGGAATGCAGGTTAAAGTGGTGAACTCATAGTTTGCTGTCAGGATTGGGTATGGAAATTAGAACAGGGATTATGGCGAGGGGGTTTAACTCCACGACTTACCCGCCTCCGATTCCGTTTTGGTCAGAGTGGACAACATTGTGGATTTGCCCACCGAAGGAAAGCCAATGAGAGCCACCCGCGCATCTCCACTCTTGAGCACATCGAATCCCTCGCCCTTTTCACCCTTTTTTGATGGCTCCAGCAACTGGGAGCGGTATTTGGCCAACTTTGCCTTCAGCAGGCCCAAATGGTACTCGGTGGCTGGGGGAAAGGGTTAAAAACACACAGATTTAGATGGGAGTCGCAAAATCCTAACCTAAATTCCGATGGCCAGCGCGGCGCATTTCCGTAGCAAGTTATTTTCTGATAATTGTTTACCTTTGTTCTTTTGCGTTCGCGCAATTTCCCGCTCGATCTCCGCAATCTTTTCTAGGATGCCCATGCTTTTAGATTTTGTAATTTAGGGCCGGGCATGCGAAAATTAAAATAAAACAAAAGTTAGCTTTTATTATTGACCCGCTGTGCGTCGCCCGGGAGTCTGCAGCCCTGATCAGCTGTTTTGGCAGTCAAGATAGCGGGACGAATTAGCCCTGGGAGCGCTGAAACGGAGCACTGCTTGAAATGAAATCCGCTCATCCTTATCGATTTGCACAAGCAGTTTTGCATCGTCATTTATTTAAAATTCAAAAATAAAATTTCCTTGAAACTTAGTAATTCTTTTTTAAGAATTATGTCTATATTTACGTTTCCGTTTGTGTAGCGCGCTATGACTCTGGACAGCATTATCTGCTGCTATCGACAAAATTTGATGATGACAAATGGCATCAAAACGCATTGATATGAATAATCTCCGTTATTCATTTTTGTTATTCCTCTTTTGAAATATTTCGGGACCTTAAACTAACTAATTCATGATAAAAAAAAATATGATGTATTAAATAATGATTAAAAATAATTTAAAATCGTCACCTTACAAATAACATTTTATTTAAACTGTAAATGTTAAGTATATGTTCTTAAATGCGATGCCCTTAGTCAAACACAATTTACACTTCCGGGGGTTTCCCATCGTTATCACAATGACCGTTTACACTTAAAAAAAACAGTTGTTCTTTGCTTTTATTTGATCTTTATTTTTTATAATGACAAAAATCAGTGAAAATGAATTTTACAAATGGAATGCGTCAATTAAAAAATGTAATATTCCTTTTATATTAAAAAGAATTTTTGTATAACCTTGCAGAAGATATTAAAAAATTGGTCAAATGTTTGTAACGCTGTAAAGGTGACATTCTCGACCTTATAAAGTATATATATTCTTGATCAGCATGGCTAGATCAGTTGATATGGCTATGTCAGTCTGTCCGTCTTTTTATACACCATTTGCGAGCTCAGTTTAAAAGCTAAACCCTTAAAACTTTCGCAATAGTATTTTTAATGTGTAGATAAGTTTGCAAACGGTGTAAGTCTCGTACGAACCATCCGGTTTTACGCCGATATTTCGCGAAGGTTAAGATTCTTGAAATCGTAATTGGAAACTTCGTGAGAGGGCGAAATAAATAATTTACTTTTAAAGCTTCCGTTCTCGTTTTTTGTACGTTTCAAGTGGAAGAGAAGATATGGATTTCACAACTACAACCGATCTGAACATCGAAACCAATAATCCCTACCCTTATTACACAAGTTATAATTAAAAAAATTGTATAAAATGCATTTTCATTTATTTTTGATTCATCTGAAATTATAATACAAAGTAGAGGATTGTCGGTTATTCACTAAATTTAATATTTTTTTTTTAAATTGAAGCTTATGAAAATTCCAAAACATTCAACCCACTCTTCAATGAGTAAGCATTTTAAGTAAGTAAATGCATTAAAAGGCTTTCGTCGAGTTTAAGAAAAACAGTTTCATTTCGAACGCCGACTGCCCAAGATGTTTTTGCAACTGAAAGTGTTTATTTTAATCCTGATCCAGGCTTTTCTGCTGGTCCAGTCAGCTAAAACTACAAACTACAAACGTAAGTGAATTAAGCGGTTTTACTTAATCCTTGCACAACAATGGTCCTTGCTTTTGGTGATAAGTGATTTGTGATCGGCGAAAAGTGCGTTTGCTAACAAAAACACCAAATTTCAAATCAAAGTCCTTTAGAAATACCTACGTGTACTAATAAATGAGTTTTAAGTTCATGATTGTGATTGTGTGTTATGTTAAATAGGCCGAGTTTATATGGGGCTTCGGATCACAGAATATCTACAGTGATGAACTTAATTATTGGCACAGCAAGTATTTTGAACTTTAGGACTATTGTTTTTATCTAATATGCTAATATTTAAATAAAACAAAATATTTTTAGATTGAATCATTAATTTACTGTTATATACATGTAACTTCATTATTTATCGTTTATATAAATAGTTCAATAAAAATAAAAAACAACAAACAGGATCAAAGTTAATGATAAGAAGGACTTTGATAAGGATATTCCCCGAACAGCCTGGAAAAAGGGCCCTGTATGATTTTATGTGTTACAATACTCCATTCCCTAATGAAATTTCTTACAATAATTGACTTTTCAAATCGATTGTTTTTATTTAGGAGCCAGTCGTTTGTATAAACCATCATGAAGTCAATTTTTGCATGCTGTTGGGTGAATATCCTCAACAAAGTTCTTCTTATCCTTAACTTTGATCTATGTTGAGGGGATCTGAGGGTTGGCACTACCCTTTCATACGATCCTTACGGATTTCTGGCAATTCCTACTCCACCTTGAGAGATTTGTTGCTAAAATTGTGAATTTTAACTTTGTAACGGCAGAGATAATATAAGTGTGTGTAATTCTGTAAACCGGTTAGAAAATTAGGACTTTATCAGTTAGTTTTGGTTAGTTATTCAAATTTATTTTTTTTAACGGTTTTATATTTATTGTTATTTTCTGTCCCTTTTGACTATAAATGTACATTGTTGTGCCATCGCATAAATAATCTATCATATTTGCTAAAACACAGGTGCAGGATAAAATGTTATACATTACAATAATAGATGGGCTGACAGGTTCTGCCTGGGGACCTTTTTAATAGTTTGGTGGTGCATTAAGAGTGTGTTTTAGCAAAAAACAATTTGGTAATTCCAATTATATTTGCGCAGCCTGTGCATGATGGGAATATGTCATTGTTGTCGAACTTTAGTTGCCGACTTCATAGCTTATTCCAAGTTATAAGTTGTGGCACACGTTTTGTAAACAAATATCTTCAACTTAAATTTCCAGCTTGCCAACCCGACGAGAGATGTGTCAAACTTACTAGTTGCCCTCACTTGAAGGCCATTAACGAGTCCAAAAAAATGACCGAGGCCAAAAATGAAATAATGAAGCACAGAAAATGCGGTCCCTGGTGGAAGCCTGCACTTTACTACTGTTGTCCCGAACCGGGAAATAAGCTACCAAATAACCGGACATGCGGTAAAAGCCCAGCCGTTTACCGAATTAAGGGTGGTAGAAACGTGGGACTTAATGAGCTGCCCTGGATGGCCCTGCTTTTGTATCGGAACCGCAAAAGTTGGCAAGCGCCACTTGTGGGGGCTTGTGGGGGCTCCCTGATCACCAACCGATACGTCCTGACCGCAGCCCACTGTGTGGTTAAAGGACCTAAACTGCCGCAGGACTTAGAGATCCAAAGAGTGCGCTTGGGCGAGCATGACACCTCCGTCAATCCCGACTGCCAGTACCTATACCCTGGGAGTGGAAAGAGGCACTGCGCTCCTCGTCATCTGGAAATCGACGTTGAGAAGGTCATTCCTCACCAGGGCTACTTGGATAGCGAGGTATTCCATTACGACATCGCCCTGCTGCGACTCGAAATACCAGTACGGTGAGTAATGATGTCATGACACAATGAAAAGCATTCCATTCTGATCAAACTTTCCTGGTCTTTAGCTATACGCCCGCAATCAAACCAATTTGTGTTCTGCAAGATAGCATCTCCCTAATGAACTCCAAATTCAAAGTAGCCGGCTGGGGAAAAACAGAAAGCGGATTATCCAGTACAGTATTGCTGCAAGCAACCCTTAAGAAACTGGATGCAGAAAGTTGCATAAAAGCCTATCCATACTTAGAATTCAATTCTTCGATACAAATATGTGTTGCTGTGCTGGATGGAATAGACACCTGTCACGGTGATTCTGGCGGACCACTGATGGCCACCAAGGGACAGAGCTACCAAGAATTCGAATTTGTAGCCGGAATCACATCCTTTGGAGGTCCAGTGTGCGGAGTGAAGAAATATCCCAGTGTTTACACACAAGCTGGAGTATTTTTTAAATGGATAAGGAATAATTTAAGGGCTTAAAACCCCAAGAATATAGTTTACCAATAAAGCATAAATTCTCAAATTTATATGATCCACCTAAATTTAAGGGGGGTATAGTATTAAAATTTTTTTTTTTGAATTTTTTTTTTTTTTTGATTGTACATTAAACATGTGTTAAAATTTTAGATTGATCAGAGAAAAACTTCCGAACTTATGGGCAGTTCAACGTAGGTACGTAAACGCGTTTAATATTAAATTTTGTGGGTGTCCCAAACTTTAAAACGCTCTCCTGAAAAGTTGCCATTTCAAAGTCGGTGTACACGATCTTGCAAAATCTATCGGACGGATCGTTTTGAGATTTTGCACAGTATTTCTCTACCAGATTCCTCAGGTAACGCTGTCGAGTTTTTTTATACCCTTGCAGAGGGTATTATAATTTTGGTCAGATGTTTGTAACGCAGAGAAGGAGACGTTTCCGACCCTATAAAGTATATATATTCTTGATCAGGATCAATGGGGGAGTCGATATAGCCATGTCCGTCTGTCTGTTTCTACGCAAACTAGTCTCTCAGTTTCAAAGCTATCGAATTGAAACTTTGCACACACCCTTCTTTCCTTTGCACGCAGTATATAAGTCGGAACGGCCGGGATCGGCCGACTATATCCTATAGCTGCCATATAACTGATTGATCGGAAATGCCATAACTTTGGTGTTTGCAAAGTTAGGAAGCTGGGATTTCCTATGGATTTTATATTTGACCAATCAATCCGACCTACCAAATTTCATAAGGATCGGCCGACTATATCCTATAGCTGTCATATAACTGAACGATTGGAAACGCCATAACTTTAATGTTTTTAAAGCTAGGAAGTTGGGATTTTTTATGAGTATTAAGAATGCATCATATGAATAATTTTGGAGAATATAATTTACAGAATATTCTGCAAGGGTATATCAACTTCGCCCGAAGTTTGCTTTCCTTTCTTGTTTAGACTTTTTTATGCGAGCTTTAAGATATAGATATCCGATTTTAATTAAATTAAAACCGTAATTTTATAGTATTTAAATATTACCATATCCCAAAAAATAACAAAAAAAATTTAAAAATTAAATTTTTTTTCCGATTGTTTGTATGGGAGCTGTATGGGAAAGTTTCAACCAGATACCTTTAAAACTGAGGGACTAGTTTGCGTAGAAACGGACGGACAGACGGACATGGCTAGATGGACTCTTCTCGTACTGCTGATCAAGAATATATATACTGGGGTCTGAAATGTCTCCTTCACTGCGTTGCAAACTTTTGACTGAAATCAAAATACCCTCAGCAGGGGTATAAAAAAAAAAAAAATATGTATGGTCCGACGGCAGTTGAAAAAAATAAATATTAATCTTTTTCAGGGTAGAATAATTTTATAGTCAGGGGTGATATGTTAGAAAAGGTTTTCTATGTTATAAATCTATCTAATTTTTTGGGTTAATTTGATAATTTTTTTCTATTATTTAGCATATTTTTTTAGGGCATTTTTACTAAAATTAGGAAATTTTTTCTTGGATCTAGGGCGATTTTAGTTTATGGCAAAAATTTCTACACTTGAGAAAAAATTTCTTGATTTAAAACCAATGCCCATGTTTTTGGAAAAAAATTCTATAAATCTTTTAATGGGTAATTTCTAAAATTTAGAGAATAATGTGTAATGAATGCATAAATAAACGATCGCGAATGTTTAAATCTTTAGCTTTTAAACTAATTAAAAATACACTATCAGAGTTCTTATCGTGAGAAAACAGAAAACTTCTTTTCTGCCTTTTGACTAATTTAAGTGATTACTTAAAAATTTCCAACTACTCATGCTCATGGTGATTATTCAATTTTTTACCCATGGAGTTATTTAAATTCTCCTAATAATCTTGTTCGAGCTCAGTCGTATTTCAAACGCTAACTGTAAAACATGGTTAGGAAAATGAAAATAATTTTTTTGATTTTGGCCCAGTCTTTTCTGCTGGCACATTCAGCTGAATATAGGAATTACCGAAGAGAAAATTCAATCCATAATCAAAAGCGTAAGTAAATTACTATACATTACTTAATTTTCGCATAATTGTTTCTTGTTTTTTGGCATACAAACAATATACAAAAAAAAAAATAATTGTCAATATAAAAAAATTGTAGAAACAATTTTATTTTGTAAAATGTTTTTGCAATGTGTGTAATTTAGACCTTCAAAATTATTTTAATCTAAAGAAGTAAATAATTCACATAGTACATAGTAACTCGAAAACCACTAACAACCGAATATGGTATAAATAGAGTTTTTTGCGAATATTGGAGTGAGCTTAAGATAATTAGTCAGTCATTCCATGATAATAGTGCAACTTTAATGTTGCTTTCTAAGACCACTTTATTTTCTAGTAGAAGAAACCATTAACACACTGGACATTTTTTTTTAGGGAAAATTAAATTTAAATCATAACAAGAAAGGAAAACTAACTTCGGGCGGAGCCGAAGTTGATATACCCTTGCAGAATACTCTGTAAATTATATTCTCCAAAATTATTTATATGATGCATTCTTAATACTCATAAAAAATCCGAACTTCCTAACTTTAACAACAACAAAGTTATGGCATTTCCAATCGTTCAGTTATATGGCAGCTATAGGATATAGTCGGCCGATCCTTATGAAATTTGGTAGGTCGGATTGATTGGCCAAATTTAAAACTCATAGAAAATCCCAACTTCCTAACTTTACAAACACGAAAGTTATGGCATTTCCGATCAATCAGTTATATGGCAGCTATAGGATATAGTCGGCCGATCCTTATGAAATTTAGTAGGTCGGATTGACTAACCAAATTTAAACCCCATAGAAAATCCCAACTATATCCTATAGCTGTCATATAACTGTACGATTGGAAATGCCATAACTTTGGTGTTTTTAAAGTTAGGAAGTTGGGATTTTTTATGAGTATTAAGAATGTATCATATCAATAATTTTGGAGAATATAATTTACAGAGTATTCTGCAAGGGTATAAAAACTTCGGCTCCGCCCGAAGTTAGCTTTCCTTTCTTGATTTTGTTTCACTTAATATGTAATTATTGTCGTAGTAACTATAACTTGCCTTACGTTTTGTAAATAATTCTCTCCAATTCAATTTCCAGCTTGTGAACGCGACGAGAGATGCGTCAAACTTACAAACTGCCCACACTTGAAGGACATTGTCGACTCCAGAAAAATGACCAAGTCTTTTTCTATAATTGCGCACAGAAAATGCGCAGAATACGGGTCCTGGTGGAGTCCTACATCTTACTACTGCTGTCCCGAACCGGGAAATAAGCTACCAAATAAAGGGACATGTGGTCACAGCCCAGCCGTTTACCGAATTTCGGGTGGTAAACACGTGGGGCTTAATCAGCTGCCCTGGATGGCCTTGCTTTTATATCGGGACATCAAAAATTGGACAGCACCACTTGTAGCCGCTTGCGGGGGTTCCCTGATCAACAACCGATACGTCCTGACCGCAGCCCACTGTGTGTCTAAAGGACCTCAACTGCCGCAGGACTTAGTGATCCAAAGAGTGCGCTTGGGCGAGCATGACACCTCCGTCGATCCCGACTGCCAATACGGGTACTCTTGGAGTTCAGGAAAGCGCTGCGCTCCCCCTCCTCTTGAAATCGACGTTGAGAAGGTCATTATTCATCCGGGATACTCCACAAGCTATGTATTCCATTACGATATCGCCCTGCTGCGACTCGAAATACCAGTACGGTGAGTAATCATTTCTTTACACAATGAAAAACATTCCATTCTGATCAAACTTTCCTGATTCTTCAGATATACGCGCGCAATCAAAGCAATTTGTGTTCTGGATGCTCATCGCTCCTTGAAGAACTTAAGATTGGAAGTAGCCGGATGGGGCCAAATTGAAGGCGGAATTACCAGTCCAGTATTGCTTCAATCAACCCTGAGGAAAATGAATTCAAACTTCTGTACAAGAGCATATCCCCACTTAGAATTTAATTCTTCGATACAAATATGTGCTGGTGTTGAGGATATGAATGATAACTGCCCAGGGGGTCCCGGGGGACTACTGATGGGCACCATGGGACGGGGCTACGAAGAATTCAAATTTTTGGCTGGAGTCACCTCCTATGGACTTCAAATATGCGGACGAATGGGATATCCTGTTGTTTACACAAGAGCTGGTTTTTTTTATAAATGGATACTGGAGAATTTGAAGGCTTAAACCTCCGAAATATAGTTTATTATCAATAAAAAACATTATCAAATTTCTATGATATATATAAATATATACATATATACATTTTTTAGTCATTATTTTATATTTATAATTCGATTTCTATCTTGACTTCGGATGAAAATCTCAACAGTTATCAAATAAATAAAGGTTATTATTCCATTTACACATGATATTTGTGGTCTTTAAAGTGGGTTTGGCAACAACCTAGAGTCTCCATGTTATCAAGCATCTTCTTAAATCTCTAGATTCCCTTGGTGGTTCGGACTCAGAGAGCTATTTTTCCGTGGTGGAGAGTTGACGGCAAAATGTCTCAGACTATCCTGTCAATAAACGTATACCGCTCTAAGGAAGCTTGGTTTCTACTTAACCAGGCCGAAAGTGAGGTAGACATCCTTCTGATGCATGAGTGTGCTGCAATTTTAAATGCTGTAACTATGTGACAACAACTTTGTCAGCTGACTGTCAATCCGTCTTAGCTCGATTGGAATTTCTAACATAGGCTGTAGTAATGCCAAAGGTTATAATAGACCTGATTCTAGGTGCGGGCAAACAATAATTATTAATAAATCAAATACGTCATTTAATTGCCAGTAAAGTTATGTGTTACTCTTTTTAAATAATTATTTTCTTTGCTAGACTTAAAACCGAAAAATTACCATGAGGTTTTTTGGAAGGTAACAGGTAGAAGATATTTCGGAAGTAAGAATCGGCTGCACTGTTTGTATGCAGAAACATTTCATCTTGCAAATACCTTCATGTTTATATGTAAACACTTTGATTGCCAATAAAATTTAATTAATGTGGTTAATATTGGTACAGTATATGTGTTCGAAAACCAAACAAAAATTTTTGTGAAGTGAGTGAAAGTATGAATCTGGCTTGCCATATTGACTGCTCTCAAAATATTTTGCCGATAAAATTTTTTTTAACAATGCATTGACCTTGGTGATAAAACTCTGTTATTTATTTTTGGACTGTTATGCATTTGTTTTTCCAAGCTAGTGATTAAATTCCAAGCTATTGACTACTGACGCTCTGACTAAGAATATTTATATTATATTTATACTCTCATTAATGCCAACAAGAAAGAAATATAGTAAATAGTCAATACACTTAATCCACCAGTTTTTATACCCTTGCAAAGGGTATTATAATTTTGGTCAAAAGTGTGCAACGCAGTGAAGGAGACATCTCCGACCCTATAAAGTATATATATTCTTGATCAGGATCACCTCCTGAGTTGATATAGCCATGTCCGTCTGTCCGTCTGTCTGTTTCTACGCAAAGCTATCGAGTTGAAACTTTGCACACAGCCTTCTTTCCTTTGCACGCAGTATATATGTCGGAACGGCCGGGATCGGCCGACTATATCCTATAGCTGCCATATAACTGATTGATCGGAAATGCCATAACTTTGCTTTTTGTAAAGTTAAAAAGTTGGGATTTTCTATGGGTTTTATATTTGGCTAATCAATCCGACCTACCAAATTTCATAAGGATCGGCCGACTATATCCTATAGCTGCCATATAACTGATTGATCGGAAATGCCATAACTTTGGTGTTTGTAAAGTTAGGAAGTTGGGATTTTTTATGAGTATTAAGAATGCATCATATGAATAATTTTGGAGAATATAATTTACAGTGTATTCTGCAAGGGTATATCAACTTCGGCTCCGCCCGAAGTTAGCTTTCCTTTCTTGTTATTTATATAGTTATATTCATTTCATTTTACATTATTTAATTTATGCTTATATGTAAGACTAATCGTAATATCGTTTTTAAATTGAAAAAATGTTACCTTAATTGTAAACGGATTTTTGAAGATTTTTAAAATAATGGTCAAATTGTTAGTCACAATGAATTTTTTTAATTATCATAAAAATAAAAATAACGCCGACTGATATTCATTTTTTCCCCCATCGAATTATTTTAATGAACAATTTTTCAAGTATTCAATCCATTTTTGCCAATAATCTTGGTCGAGCTCAGTCGTATTTCAAACGCTGACTGTAGAACATGGATTGGAAACCGAAAGTGCTTTTTTTGATCCTGGCCCAGGCTTTTCTGCTGGCACGTTCAGCTGAATATAAAAATTACCGAAAAGAAAAAAATTCAACCCGTAATCAAACGCGTAAGTAAATAACCATATATTAATTAATTTTCGATTTAATATACAAAATAAAAAACAATAATTGTCAATCCAATTATTTAAAAAACAATTTAATTTTGTAAAATTTGGGTAGTTTTGGCCTTTAAAGTTATTTTTATCTAAAGAAGTAAATATTTACCATAGTACCTTTAACTCGAAAACCATTTAAAACTTATGATACAACCGACTGTGGGATGAATAGAGACTTTTTGCGATAATTGTAGTGAAATTTAAAGTTGCTTTATAAGCCCATTTTCTATTCTAGTAGCAAACAAATAACCAACTGGTAATATTTTTATTAAAAAGAGCTATTTACATTTAAAATATAATAATATTTAAAATTTAATAATAATAAATTAATAATCTAATCAGTCTGGATTAATTAGTATTATTGAAATGTGCCCAAAACTTGGACCGCCCTAAAAAATTAAAAACAAGAGAGAACGCTATAGTCGGGTGCCCCGACTATCAGATACCCGTTACTCAGGTAAAGGGAGTGCGAGGGAGATGGAGATAGAAACTTTGATCACGCATAACTTTTTAACGAATGGTCCGATTTGAAAAATTTCTTCTACATTTCGATAGGTATTGATAAACACAATAAAACTGCATTTTTACTTTTCCGAAATATTTAAATTTTTAAAATCGTATATAAGCGATTGTGGGCGTTAAAGGGGGCGTGGCACCTTTTTGAAACAAACTTGCGCTGCGTAGGAACTCCTAGAATCTGCATGCAAAATGCCAATCTTGTAGCTTTTATAGTTTCCGAGATCTCAGCGTTCATACGGACAGACAGACGGACAGACAGACGGACAGACGGACAGACGGACATGGCTATATCGACTCGGCTAGTGACCCTGATCAAGAATATATATACTTTATAGGGTCGGAAACGCTTCGTTCTAGCTGTTACATACTTTTGCACGAATACAATATACCCTTTTACTCTACGAGTAACGGGTATAAATATATGGATATTGAATTTTTTATTTTATTTTATTTTTTAAAAAATTGCCTTCTTTTGACATGGGATAACTCTTAAAAAAACGTCTTTAACTGTCAATTTAATTCATTTCATGATTAAACATTAATTGTTTGGCAGTTTGGAATAAAAAATGCCTGTGTGGAAATGAGCTTAATTATTTTGCCAAAGAGAGTGTGTGTCCTTCAACTATAATTTGGCTTAAGTTGTGTAAATAATTCTCTTCAATTCGATTTCCAGTTTGTCAACCCGACGAGAAGTGCGTCAAACTTTCTAGTTGCACACACTTAAAGTACATTGTTAATTCCCAGGCCAATAGGAATTTAATGAAGGAGAGAAAATGCGGGCCTAAATTTTACTACTGCTGTCCCGAACCGGCAAATAAGCTACCAAATAACCGGAAATGCGGTAAAAGCCCAGCCGTTGACCGAATTTCAGGTGGTAAAAACATGGGGCCTAATAGGTTTCCCTGGATGGCCCTGCTTTTATATCGGAACCGCAAAACTTGGAAAGCGCGACTTGTGCCGGCTTGCGGGGGCTCTCTGATCAACAACCGATACGTCCTGACCGCAGCCCACTGTGTGGTTAAAGGACCTCTCCTGCCGCAGGACTTAGTGATCCAAAGAGTGCGCTTGGGCGAGCATGACACCTCCGTCGATCCCGACTGCCAATACGGGTACTCTTGGAGTTCAGGAAAGCGCTGCGCTCCCCCTCATCTGGAAATCGACATTGAGAAGTTCATTGCTCACACGGATTACTCCAAAAGCAATGTATACCATTACGACATCGCCCTGCTGCGACTCCAAATGCCAGTACGGTGAGTAATGATTTCCTTACACAATGAAAAGCATTCCATTCTGATCAAACTCCCCTGCTCCTTTAGCTATACGCCCGCAATCAAACCAATCTGTGTACTGCGAGATAGCGTCTCCTTCAACAACTCCAAAGTAGCCGGCTGGGGAAAAACGGAAAGCGGAAATACCAGTCCAGTATTGCTGGAAACAAACGTTATGGAAATTCGTTCATCATTTTGCTTAAAAGCATATCCACACTTAGAATTCAATTCTTTGTTACAAATATGTGTTGGTGCGCTGAATGGAAGTGACACCTGTGATGGTGATTCTGGCGGACCACTGATGGCCACCATGGGACAGAGCTACGAAGAATTCGAGTATGTAGCCGGAATCACCTCCTATGGACATCGAACATGCGGAGTTACTGGAAGACCTGGTGTTTACACTAGAGTTCCACAATTTTTTGGGTGGATAACGGCGAATCTGATGCCTTAGAAGAGCATACATAACAAGCCAACTCTTCACAATTGCTGTGTTTGGGATCGTTATCCAGGTAATACCATAACTGGGTATGCCCAGTTTTTAAGCAGTTTGCAGCAGGTAACGAAGAGGACGGCCTAAAAAGTGCTATATTGGAAGAATGGGTTGAGACCACTAAAAAATTAGTTTCCTCCATGGGAAATCGTCTCAGAAATGTTTTGAACCAGAAAAAAGGACTGACAAATATTTGGCTGTAAAATTAGTAATAAATAAGTTGAATGAACTGCCCGAAAAGAGCTGCGGAATGATTAAAAAAATCGTTTTTGCGTATTGAAAATGTAAATCCTAGTTAAAATACTGCGTTTAAATTTGTCTGTTATCTTTATTATTTTAGCAGAAATTCCGACTTACATTTTTATTTGCTTACTGCACGAAATAAGCTGCGAGCCACTGTAGGTAAACAAATGAAAAAGAAAATCGATACTAGCCTTAAATAATGTAATAATCATAATTTTAATTAAATCGATCAAGGGTAAAAACTTTCTGGCATTTAAATTGTCTCCGATCTCCAGCCGAACATTAGATTAGTTTCTAACAATTTTTCGCCGTTGCTTTTCCTTTTTCGCTTATTTTTACATAAATTTCGCGAATTTGGTGATTAACTCCTCGCCAAGATTTCCGCTCAACTTAACCACACTCAAAGCTTTTAGCCTTTAATAAAATGTAAATAAAATGTTGAAGGCCTCAGAGATCCCTTTTTGGATAATGACAGTGTCTGCAAATCGTTGCCGTTTTCCTCGTTTTAAGATTTATTTTCTTCGCTGTTCGAGCACATGCAGAACTTTTTGCTGCGATAGTGGTTCTTATAAACTTGGTTTCAGACGCATGGGAGTCCTTTACTTTTTTATTGGCTTTCCCTAAAATTTGGAGTTAACGCTTATTAATACAAAAAAGGATTTAGTTGCCAAGATCCTTTTTTTTAATCTTACTAGACTCAACTGCACTTTTGGAGTGCCGAAAATGGAAGGAAAATTTGTGGGGCTCGATTCTCTCTGACTATGACACCGACATTATCGTTGGACTGACTAATAGCTCTGTTGCCTCTTTGTTTTCGAAAACCCGACATGTAGACGGCGGCACCATACTCTTTGAGTCTTAGGTGACGCCGCAAATTATTTTATCTGCCACAAGCGTTGCATGCTGCGTGGCAAGTCCGGCCAATGGCAGTATGCTGCAACCCGTGCTATCGTTTTCGGGCCGTCGGCTTTTTCGGAGTTCACTATGTAATCCGGATATTTCTCGGGATTTTGGGATCTCTTACACCGCGGTGGCTTTATCTAGTTACACTCAACTTGCTCCTTCTGTTGGCTTCGTGCTTTGGCCCTTTCTGGTAGTGGCTGCCGCGATAGTGTGTCTGCCACTACATGTACTTAGTGTATGATTGCCCGTGACCGAAGGATAACGGATATTGCTTCTTTTCCTTTTCGCTGTTCTCTGCGGCGTCGCTCCGTGCTCTCTGCTTTTACGTCGCAGGCTCCCGAACTTCAGCCTGGACTTCGTCGGCAAGGTGTATCGCCTGGCAGGTAGTACTACGTTCTTCCTTATCCCCCCTCCACCTTTATATAAGGACTCCTAATTTAGATTTAAACACGACCTAGCAGCGTTGGACCTCAGCATTGTGTCTTCGCCTTGAAGAGTTTTAAGACTCCTCACAAAGAAAAATATTTTTAAAGTGGAAAAATTGTTACCTTAATTAAAAACGGGTTTTTTGAAGATTTGTAAAATAATAATCAAATTTTTAAGCTGAGTGTCATAAGCTGTTGTTATTATCATAATAATAACGAGGACGGAAGCTAACTTCGGCAAGCCGAAGTTTTAATACCCTTGCAGACTTTGCCGAAATTGCTAAAACTGAAAAAGTAGCCAAAGGAATAAGGTATACATAAATAAACTAGATTTTCATCGTTTAATGTCAATTGCTTTTATACTGCAAAAATGTCATATAAAAATAGAAAAAAAGGGATACGCGAAAAATTCAGAAAATCATCAAATTTGGACCGATTTCACCCTGTTGTTCCTATGGGAGCTGTAGGATATAGACGTCCGATCGTCACGTGCTTTTATCATAATCAAGGTATGCATAAAAAAATACGATTTGGAAAGATTCATGTCAATTGCTTATATACTGTGCGAAATATCCTAAAAATCATTAAATTTTAACCGATTTCACCCTATGGTTCCTATGGGAGCTATAGGATATAGACGTCCGATCGCCAAGCGCTTTTACCCTGATCAAGGTATGCATAAAAAAATAAGATTTGGAAAGATTTATGTTAATAGCTTTTACACTGCACAAAATATCTTCCATTCTTGAAAGTTATATCCGATTGTTCCTATGGGAGCTATAGGATATAGACGTCCGATCAGCACGCGCTTTCACCTTGATGAAGGAATGTATAAAAAAATACGATTTGAAAAAATTTATAGCAATAGCTTTTACACAGCGCGAAATATTCTGAAAAACATAAAATTTGGACCGATTTTACCCTATTTTTCCTATGGGAGCTATAGGATATAGACGTCCGATTGCCACGCGCTTTTACCCTGATCAAGGTATGCATAAAAAAATACGATTTGGAAAAATTCATGTCAATAGCTTTTACACTGCGCGAAATATCATCAATTTTTGCTAGATATATCCGATTGTTCCTATGGGAGCTATAGGATATAGACGTCCGATCGGGGCGATTTTCAAACTTGATCTGCGTACACATGTTTTAGGACGCGTGTGAAAGTTTCAGATCGCTAGCTTTTAAACTGAGCTCACAAACGGTATTGAAACAGACGGACAGACGGACAGACGGACAGACGGACAGACGGACAGACGGACATGGCTATATCGACTCCCCTATTGATCCTGATCAAGAATATATATACTTTATGGGGTCGGAAACGTCTCCTTCACTGCGTTACAAACTTCTGACCAAAATTATAATACCCTCTGCAAGGGTATAAAAAGAATTATATAGAATTATATTAATGAATAACTTTCCAAGTATTCAACTCATACTCATAATTATCTTTGGTCGAGCTGGGGCTTAGTCGTATTTCAAACGCTGACAGTGGAACATGGTTTGGGAACTAAAAGTGGTTTTCTTGATCCTGGCCCAGTCTTTTCTGCTGGCACATTCCGCTGGATATAGGAACTACCAAAGAAGATATTCAATCCGAAATGAAAAGTGTAAGAAAATTGTATTTTTTCGCAACATTTTTTTCTTGTCTTTGGCACACAAACAATATACGACTAAAAAAATAATAGTCAATACAATTAAACTTATAAAAAAAACAATTTTTTTTAATTTCCGTTGCAATATGGGTAATTTATGCCTTTAAAGATATTTGAATCACATTGTGTCTATAACTTTCTGATACAACCGACTATGGGATGGACCATTGCGATAATTGTAGTGGGTTTTTTTGTATTAAAAGGCGTGCTAAAAAATGTAGTTTAAAATAGAAAAGTGCTGATTATTTTTGTTTTTTCAAAATATAATTTTCAAATTTTTTTTGTGCAATTTTAATTTAAGCAAACCAGACTTAAGATATGATTCTTGTATTATTAAGATTATTTAAAACTTGAACAGTGATAGCTTGACATGAGATAAATTTTAAAAAAGGTTTCGCCACTTCATTTTTGTTTCCAAACGTTTTTTCATTTTTCGTTTTTTGATTAAACATTCCACTGAATAAATACATTTTCTAAAATTTTATTGTTCGTCACGCTGCTATAGAAATAGCTTGTGTAGGTATGAGCTTAATTATTTCGCCAAAGCGTGCCGAAGGAGGCAATGACCACCTGAGTCATGCAAATAGATTCGAAAAAACATTTAACAAAGGCCTGCAGTCCAAAAGGAGGTTGAGAACAAAAGGTGGAGATGGGAGGTGCCTCCACTTGAATTCTTGGGGCCACCTTGGGAGGTGTGAGTACGTTGTGGCACTGACCTCCGGGAAAGATGCAGCTCCGCAACACAACAGCTGGAAGGCGGGCGAGCATGGGCTTAAATTTTCTAAATTGCAAGTGAAATTAGCTGCTAAAATGTTCATTTCATATGTGATGATTATAAATATTTTTTTAGCGTAAAAAATGATTTCCAATTCAATTTCCAGCTTGTCAACCCGATGAGAGATGCGTCAAACTTGCTTATTGCCCACACTTAAAGTACATTGTTGAGTCCAATGAAATGACCAAGGCCAAAAGCGATATTATGGAGCACAGAAAATGTGCAGAATACGGTTCCCCGTGGAGTCCTCAATTTTACTACTGCTGTCCCGAACCGGGAAATAAGCTACCAAATAACCGGACATGCGGTCACAGCCCAGCCGTTTACCGAATTATGGGTGGTACAACTGTGGAGCTTAATATGTTCCCCTGGATGGCCCTGCTTTTGTATCGGAACCGCATAAGTTGGAAAGAGCCACTTGTGGGGGCTTGTGGGGGATCCCTGATCACCAACCGATACGTCCTGACCGCAGCCCACTGTGTGGTTAAAGGACCTCTCCTGCCGCAGGACTTAGTGATCCAAAGCGTGCGCTTGGGCGAGCATGACACCTCCAACGTTCTCGACTTCCAGTACCTGTACTCTTGGAGTGCAAAGAGGCGCTACGCTCCTCCTCCTGTGGAAATCGAGGTGGAGGAGGTTATTGATCATCCGGGCTACTCCAAAAGCGATTTTTACCATTACGACATCGCCCTGCTGCGACTCCAAATGCCAGTCCGGTGAGTAACGATTTCCTTAAACAATGAAAAGCATTCCATTCTGATCAAACTTGTCTGCTCCTTTAGCTATACGCCCGCGATCAAACCAATTTGTGTTCTGGGGCGCCACATCTCCTTGAAGAACTCCAAATTCAAAGTAGCCGGCTGGGGAAAAACTGAAAGCGGATTATCCAGTACAGTCTTGCTAGAAACAACCGTTAAGAAAATTCGTTCATCATTTTGCAAAAAAGCATATCCACACTTAGAATTCAATTCTTCGTTACAAATATGTGTTGGTCCGGTGAATGGAAGTGACACCTGTGATGGTGATTCTGGCGGACCACTGATGGCCACCATGGGACAGAGCTACGAAGAATTCGAGTATGTAGCCGGAATCACCTCCTATGGACATCAAACATGCGGACGTCAAGAATATCCTGGTGTTTACACTAAAGCTCCACTATTTTTTGAATGGATTAAGGAGAATCTGAAGGCTTAGAAGCGCATATACATACCATACATCATGGAATTTAAAAGATATCGAAAACAAAACATTAAAACACAGCTAAATCCGATTTGGCACAGCGAGAGAAGCCGCGACGGGGCTATGCATGGTTCTCAGGGTTTAGTATAGAACTTAAGTTTCAGTATCTTCTGAGCATTCATTTGAGACCTTCGGTCCAGCTTCTAATAACTATATCAAACAGAAGTCCAGCACCCAGCTGTAGAACTTATAATAATAAATATAGGAGTCCAGATCCCAGTTCTCCAACCTTATACTAATAATCAATAATAATTATTTCCAATATAAGTATGAGAATTTAAGTGGTAATTACTCATTAATCGCAAATAACAATAAATAACAGGAGTAGCTTTCTTGATATAAAATAACATATAAATAATTTATATGTATAAGTTACCCAATTATGAGTCCACACAATTTATTATTTAAATCTTCATATTTTGAACGATTTTATTTGTATTTATAAAAGAGTATTTCTGCAAAGTAAGTTCCTTTGTTGGTGATTATTTCTGTGCTCTATTTGGTCGGGTCAGATATGTGTGCATCAGCTAAATATATAAATGATAACTTTATGCAACTTTATCAAATAGTAGTCTACTTTTTGTGGGACTGCTTCTGATTACTTCTTTCTGTGAAAAGATCTTTGTCGTAATATCTTCTCTGACTTTTGGTCCAGCTTTTCTCTCGATCGATGAATGCCATTCACAACGAGGGAAATGTGTTTACTCACTGCCTAGTTCTGCCTTAACCCTTTTACATATATAAACTCCCCACAAATCCCGCTGCAGGAGAGAGCCTGGCAACAGCTAAGGCGGCTAGAGTGCCGGAGGAGTCAAGTACATCCAGGAATTGGCGGTACAGCAGTGGACCTGGGACCCGGTCATCCGATCTGGAGAAGGGAAGTAATGGGACCTTCATTGGTTGTAAAAGGATTCGAAAATCAAAGCGAGTGCTTTAACTTATAACCAGTGAAGCCAACTACCAAGTGGCCAAGGATCAAGATTGCAAGGTCGAGACGCAACACGACGACGAGTCTACAAGGCCGAGGTTTCGAACTTAAGGGGTCTTTATATAAAGGTGGCTGGGGGACAAAGTCCAGGCTGAACTCCGGGAGCCTGCGTTAAATGTGGTAAGGCGAAAGGCGGACTATAGATATACCTGCCAGCCCCGGTAGGAAGGTTTGCATAACATCCAGACTCTTAGTGGCACTGTCCTGATCTCAGACACCAGTGAGAAGCAGGACTTAGAGATCAAAAGCGTGTCTTTGGACGAGCATGACACCTTCGTCGATCCCGACTGCCATTAGGAGGGAAATCGAGTTGGAGAAGGTTATTAATCATACTGGCTACTCCAGAAGAACGAGATTCTGAAGGGAGCCCGCTATACTGCATTTTTACTATATTTACGCTCATTTTCGAGAAGAGAGTGAAAGTATTTCATAGCAATGCTTTGACCTTGGCGATAAATCTCAGTTATTTATTTTTGAACTATTATACATTCGGTTTTCCAAGCTAGTGACTATATTGTTAGCCATTGGCTATTGACAACGGACTTTGTGACTAAGAAACTGATAACATTATATATATACTCTCATTAACATTAATGAATGAAATATAATAAATAGTCAATACACTTATTCCACCAGTTTATATTTATATAATTACATAAAGTTTATTTTACATTAATTAATTTATGCCTATATATAATCTAGATAAGATAAAAGTAATATTATTTCTAAATTGAAAAAATGTTACCTTAAGTAAACGGATTTTCGAAGCTTTTTAAAAAATGGTCACATTGTTAATCTCAGTGAATTTATTTAATTATCATAATAACGGGGACGGGCTAACTAAGGCTAACTAAGGAATAAGGAATACATACTAGATGCTGCGCGAAATAATCTGAAAATCATCAAATTTGGACCGATTTCAACCTATTTTTCCTATGGGAGCTATAGGATATAGACGTCCGATCGGCACGCGCTTTTACCCTGGTTTGGAAAGATTTATGTCAATTTCTTTTACACTGCGCGAAATATCTTCCATTATTGCAAGTTATATCCGATTGTTCCTTTGGAAGCTATAGGATATAGACATCGGGGCGGTTTTCAAACTTGATCTGCGTACCCATGTTTTAGGACGAGTGTGAAAGTTTCAGATCGCCAGCTTTTAAACTGAGCTCGCAAACGGTATTGAAACAGAGGGACAGACGGACATGGCTATATCGACTCCCCTATTGATCCTGATCAAGAATATATATACTTTTTAGGGTCGGAAACGTCTCCTTCACTGCGTTACAAACTTCTGACCAAAATTATAATACCCTCTGCAAGGGTATAAAAAGCAGACCTGCCAACTGATGATAATTTTTTCGCCCATCGAATTTTTTCTTCAAATAACTTTTGAAGTATTCAACACAGTTCATAATATTCTTGGTCGAGCTCAGTTGTGTTTCAAACGCTGACTGTAGAGTATGGCTTGGAAACTGAAATTGCTTTTTTTGATTCTGGCCCAGGCTTTTCTGCTGGCACATTCAGCTGAATATTGGAATTACATAGAAAATGTATTATTTAATCAAAAGCGTAAGTAAAATACCATATTTTATTTAATTTTCGCAATAAAATTGGATGCTGGTTATCAAAATTAGCTTTATTTTTTTTAAATTCCTATCTTTTGACATGCGATGACTCTTAAAAACATTACCCGGCTACTACATTTTTGTTTCCAAATCAATTTTTTTTTTGTTTCATTTTCAATTTTAAAAACTAGTCGATCGCGTGTTTTCATTTTTTTTCGGTATATGCTTAACGTTTTGACTGAATAATTTGTCCAAAATTTCTTGTTCGGCACGCTGGAATAAAAAATGCCAGTGTAGGCAAGTGCTTAACTGAGTTGTTCTGCGTGGTGCTTATACAAATAGATAATTATTCAACGCCGGAGATGGGAGGTACATCCACTTGAATCCTTGGGGGATTCATTTAATATGTAATTATTTTCGTCCTTTGTAAGTTAGGATAACAATAATTTGACTTACGTTTTGTAAATAATTCTCTCCAATTCGATTTTCAGCTTGTGAACCCGACGAGAGATGCGTCAAACCCACTAAGTGCCCACACCTAGACTACATTCTCAAGTCAAGGAAAATGACCAAGGCCAAAAAGGAAATAATGGAGCATAGAAAATGCGCAGAATACGGTTCCTTGTTGCACCCTAAATTTGTATACTGCTGTCCCGAACCGGGAAATAAGCTACCAAATAACGGAAAATGCGGTAAAGGCCCAGCCGTTAACCGAATTTCGGGTGGTAAACACCCGGAGCTTAATCAGCTGCCTTGGATGGCCCTGCTTTTGTATCGGAACCGCATAAGTTGGAAAGAGCCACTTGTGGGGGCTTGTGGGGGATCCCTGATCACCAACCGATACGTCCTGACCGCAGCCCACTGTGTGGATAAAGAAGATCTCAGGAAGCAGGACTTAGTGATCCAAAGAGTGCGCTTGGGCGAGCATGACACCTCCGTCGATCCCGACTGCCAATACGGGTACTCTTGGAGTTCAGGAAAGCACTGCGCTCCTCCTCATCTGGAAATCGACATTGAGAAGGTCATTCCTCATCCGGGCTACTCCAAAAGCAATGTATACCATTACGACATCGCCCTGCTACGACTCCAAATGCCAGTACGGTGAGTAATGATTTCCTTACACAATGAAAAGCATTCCATTCTGATCAAACTTTCCTGCTCCTTTAGCTATACGCCCGCAATCAAACCAATCTGTGTACTGCGAGATAGCATCTCCTTAAAGAACACCAGAGTAGCGGGCTGGGGCCAAACGGAAAGCGGAAATACCAGTCCAGTATTGCTAGAAGCAACCGTTCAGAAAATGAATTCATCATTTTGCGAAAATGTATATGAACACACAGAATTTAATTCTTCGTTACAAATATGTGTTGGTCCGGTGAATGGAAGTGACACCTGTCTGGGTGATTCTGGCGGACCACTGATGGCCACCATGGGACAGGGCCACCAAGAATTCGAGTATGTAGCCGGAATCACCTCCTATGGACTTAAAACATGCGGACGTGAAGGACACATTGGTATTTACACTAAAGCTCCACTATTTTTTAAATGGATTAAGGAGAATCTGAAGGCTTAGAAGCGCATAAATATACCATACATCGTGGAATTTAAAAGATTTCGAAAACAAAACACTCAAACACATTTTAATCCAATTTGGCAAGCGATAAAATTCGGGACGGGGCTATTCAGTATCTCCTAAGCATTCAAACACTGCTGAAGACCAGCTCCCAGCCGTAGAACTTATATTAATAAATATAGGAGTACAGATCCCAGTTCTACAACGCTAAACTAATAAAAAATTCAAACAACTAATCATATATATATATATATATATACATATATAAAATTACATTATTTACTAATATATTAAATTGACATTTAAATAAAATTACCCTTGTAATCGTAATTATTGTTTTATTTCAAATTTGGTGGAACAATAAAATAAAAACGCGGTTCTAATTCGGTCTCAATGATGTGAACAAACTCCTTTGAAGATTTCATGGACCACTATTTCAAAAAAAGGATACAAAAATCAACCTCGTGAACCACCTTCGTTTCGTCTTCATTAATTGGTTGCCTATACATAACGCTTTCACTAAAGTTAATTTATGACATTATAATCATTACAGAAATTGATTAGAAAATTAAATATATTTACGCCAGGATGCTGTCAAGGTCAATTTTTGTTGTTGTTTAGTTTACTAATCACTCTTTTTTCGGTTTGGCGATAAGGCAGCGATATTTTCTGGACAATTGATAAGGTCTGCTAAAAGGCGGTTACGAGTGCGATAATAATTTGTTTTCAGGCTTCTGGTGGTATGCAAAAAACAGTCTTATTTCAAACGCTGACTGCTCAACATGCTCTTTAAATTGTATATTTCGCTAGTGTTCCATGTTTTTCTATTGGCACATTCAGCTGAATCGGGTAATTGACGACAAACAATAAAATTTAAGAGTTACTTTGATTATTACATTTTTATACAAAAAGTGATCTTCAAATTTGTCTTCAAAATTTATAAATTTTAAAAATGCCTATTTCCAAGCAAACTAAAACTTAAAAAATGCAACATAGTGAGCAATGATATTTTTTCATCCATTAAAAAAATTTAGTCTCCATAACTTTTGTATTTTGTATATTTTTTTTCTTCATTTAATTTAAACAAAAACATAAAAATATTGCATTTTAAGGGGTTTCCGGGTCTTGAAGCACAAAAAAACAGATCTTACGACAGTTTTACAAATTTCATTTATTGTACATTAATGTATAAGGTTTGAACAGCATTGTGTAAAAATTTGAACAAAAAATATTAAAAAATGAGCCGTTGCGGCAGGCTTTAACTTGACCACACCAAAATTGGAATTAGAAAAGCCCGAATTGCCAGTTGTGACTAATTCGACCCGCTGGTCTTTAAATTTCTCTCATTCCTACATTTTTGCTTCGATCGGCTTGAAATTTTCGGACAACATTCCTGACACTTTGTACTATTATATAAAAAAGTTTGAAAAAAATGAATTTTTTGAAGTGCCAAGAGCCGGATAACCCCTTAAGTTAGGAAAACACATTTATCTGCGTCAGACTGAGAATTTATCTCGCAGTTTCAATGAAATGTTTTCTATGAATCATACAACACCCACACGTTCTTTATTAGTCAAGACTCCAAATCTCTTGATGCGTTTTTAGAGTGTCAACCCGATGAGGAAAAGATCAGTTTGAAAACCTGTCCCCACTTGTACAACTTGCCCAGTCATATGAAGAGGACATTCAACCTAGCCGATATGTGGGAGTTGAAGGACGGGTTGGTCTGCTGTCCCAAGCTGGGAAACGAGCTGCCATTTACATCGATCTGCGGACATAGTGCAGCCGGAGATCGTATTGTGGGTGGAGGCGAGGCGGATCTAAATGTTTTCCCCTGGATGGCCATGCTTCTATACCAGAACCATGCAACCTCGGAAATTAACACCTATTGCGCGGGCTCCTTGATCACCAATCGCTATGTCCTGACCGCAGCCCATTGCGTGCACAACATGCCATCTGACTTATCCCTTCATAGCGTCCGACTGGGCGAGCATAATATCTCCAGCGATCCCGACTGCCATGTCAAACGGAAATTCTGTGCTCCCCCCCACGTGGAAGTCGACGTGGAGTATGTGGTTGTGCACGTGGACTTCCTCAGGGGTGGCAGGAAAATGAACCAAAACGACATCGCTTTGCTGCGACTCCAAATGCCTGTACGGTGAGTAATCGTTTCCAGGGCCCAATGGTAAGCCACCCTGATCCTGATCCTGACTTTCTACTCCTTCAGCTATTCGAGGGCAATAAAACCGATTTGTCTTTGGGGATCCCATGACTTCAAGACCAACTCCACCTTTCAAGTAGCCGGCTGGGGCAGAACGGAAACGGATAGATTCAGTCAAGTACTGATGAAAGGGCTCATTAAGAAAAGGGAGTTTGGTAGGTGCTCAGAAAGGACTTCAGACTTGAACTCCGGGTTCCAAATGTGTGCCGGTGGCCTGGACGGAAGTGACACCTGTGTCGGTGACTCCGGCAGTCCACTGATGGCCACCATGGGACAGAGCTACGAAGAATATATATATATAGCCGGCATCACCTCAATAGGAAATACAAATTGCGGCATGACTGGTGTGCCAGCAGTTTACATAAAAATTTCGGCATTCATCGATTGGATAACTTTTAATTTAAGACCTTAAAAGTTTGTTTGCTTAGATATTGTATATAAGTTGGAAATAATGTACTTTAATAAACAATTTTTTTCGAATTAACAGCAACAAAATAATAAAATAATAATACATTTTTAGTTAGTACGCATACAATTTTTTGTAGGGAGAGACTTTAAGCCTTTAACCACACCATCCGATGTCTTGCCGATCGATTTAGAAATTAAATTTCAACGCCGTCCCAAATGTATATGGTTTTAAATTGGATTAGTTTTATTTGTCAAAAGAACTCGTAAAATATACACAAATACACGCAGGTAAATACTGTTACGATTACAAGAAACCCCACAACACGCAAATGACGATAAATTACAATAGTGACTGTTGACAGAGACATCGAGAGAAAGAGATAGGCCGGCGTGGGATGCTCCAGCTTAGGTGGCCAAAAGGACCCAATCCTCCGCTGCTCAATTCCCCGCCGCCGGCGATTAGCGATTAGTGGTTGGCATAGAAGCCATGTCCCGAGTTCCCCATGAACTCCGTCCAGCGCTGCGAGTCCACGGGGTCCAGCTCCGAGCAGACCTCACCTGGCTGCAGGGAGCGGCAGGTGCACGTGATCCCGATCCGGGTCACCACCAGCTGCGACTCGAACTTGGGCAGGGCGGGCTCCGCGTCCACCAGACGCTCGCTGAGGCACTGCTTCAGGAACTGTTTGCGCAGCACGTGCAGGTTGTCGATGGTGTAGCCTGCAAAGGGGAAATACTCGGGGATTACTTGGTGTTGAGGAAAATTGTAGAAAAAGACAAAGGTTATACCTAAATGTGGTGTCAAATACATTGCTTTGAAAACGACAACCAAAATATTTTATTTTTAGTACTATATGTTTATAATTATAATAAGGAACTGATTTGAGAACTATTTAGTCATGATAAGAAGTACGTATAGTACTCAAAGAACAGCGATTAGAAAAAATTAAAAAACAAAAAACGAAGCAAACTTTGGCGAGCCAAAGTTTATATACCCTTGCAGTTATTACGAATCGACTACATTTCGATTTCTATGCATATATTACTAAAATCAATGAAGTTGTCTCGAGTTTGCGTTGCATTTTGCCATCGTTTCTACGGTAGCTATATGATATTATTGTCCGATTTTAATTTAATTAAAACAGTAATTCCATAATTTTTAAATATTACCAAATCCCAAAAAAAAATATTCAAAAACAACAAAGTTATAATTTTTTTGAATTTTTTTTTCCGATTGTTCCGACTTATATACTACCTGCAATAGGAGACAACTTTTGGGAAAGGTTCAAGCAGATAGCTACAAAAGTGAGGGACTAGTTTGCGTAGAAACGGACAGACGGACGGACAAACGGACATGGCTAGATCGACTCTCCTGGTGATGCTGATCAAGAATATATATACTTTATAGGGTCCTTCACTGCGTTGCAAACTTTTGACTGAAATTATATAACTCTCTGCAAGGGTATAACAATTTGTTTACTAATGTTAACCTGTGGTTTTAAAATATAGTACATATGAACATGAAATGCTCTTATATTATATAAGCTAATCTTTTATTCAGTGGGTGAACTTGATAAGTAGTTGGGGCAGTTTTAATTGCTTCAAATTGTCCAATACTTTATGTACTCACTCTTATAGGCGCTGATCTTCTCCTCGACGCAGCTGAGATCGTGCAGCGAGAAGAGCGGAGGATAGGCCTCCGATTCGCGGATGTTGAGGACAAAGGCAAAGTCCAGCGAGGAGCTGGCGTTTCCCAGCGCCTTGAGCAGGACCCCGGTGGATGAGATGGAAGCCAAGTACCAGTCTGCTCCAGAGGACTCCTCTCCCCCAATGGAATCCTCGCCAGCGGCGGTCGTGGTTCCGGAAGCACTCTCGCGTCTTTTGCGGCGCCTCCTCTGCTTTTTGTTGCCCTCCTGGGCGTCGGCAGCCTGTTCCCGCGCCTCGTTGTCCAGCTCCAGATCCCACAGGCTCAGCGGCGACTGCGCGGACACCGGCTGCCCGGTGGTACTTGGGGTCGTTGGGGTGCTGGTGGCCTCGAGGAAACCACTGCGCACATCCCGGCTGCCGGCGCTGGGATACTTGGATCGCAGGTGGATGGGCCGGTCACTCTGCTCCAGAAGCGGAGGCACTTCGTCGTTGTACACCAACTCGTACTCCTCCGGCAGGCGTAGCGGATTCGCATTCTCCGGCGGCAGCGGCAGGTTATCATAGTCCTTCTGCGGAAAGAGGACACTCCTCAGTGGTTTGCAATGGAAAAAATAACGTTTTGATTGATGCATGATCTCCTAACTAACCTTCAACCAATTATTTGAATCAAAAATATTAAAAAAATATAATAAAAAGAAGAACGGAAAGCTAACTTCGGGCGGAGCCGAAGTTGATATACCCTTGCAGAATATTCTGTAAATATTATTGGTTGACCATAAAACCCATAAAAAATCCCAACCCCCTAACTTTACAAAAACCAAAGTTATGGCATTTCCAATCGTTCAGTTATATGGCAGCTATAGGATATAGTCGGCCATAACTTTGCCAAATATAATCCGATTTCAAAGTGGCATACCTCTAAAGACTTGTGGTTGGATTCTCTAAAAATCTGCATTCAAAATTTTCATTTTAGCGTTGACCGACTTTTTGACCCATTTTCATGTTGGTTATTTCTAAGTTTCCGATGAGTTGCCCAAAGGTGACCCACAATTGGACTCCTAGATTCCATAACTTTACCAAATATAATTCGATTTCAAAGTGGCATTCCTCTAATGACTTGTGGTTGGATTCTCTAAAAATCTGCATTCAAAATTTTCATTTTAGCGTTGACCGACTTTTTGACCCATTTTCATGTTGGTTATTTCTAAGTTTCCGATGAGTTGCCCAAAGGTGACCCACAATTGGACTCCTAGATTCCATAACTTTACCAAATATAATCCGATTTCAAAGTGTCATACCTCTAAAGATTTGTGGTTGGATTCTCTAAAAATCTGCATTCAAAATTTTACTTTTAGTGTTGACCGACTTTTTGACCCATTTTATGTTGGTTAGTTCTAAGTTTCCGATGAGTTGCCCAAAGGTGACCCACAATTGGACTCCCAGATTCCATAACTTTACCAAATTTAATCCGATTTCAAAGTGGCATACCTCTAAAGACTTGTGGTTGGATTCTCTAAAAAGCTGCATTCAAAATTTTCATTTTAGCGTTGACCGACTTTTTAACCCATTTTCATGTTGGTGATTTCTAAGTTTCCGATGAGTTGCCCAAAGGTGACCCACAATTGGACTCCCAGATTCCATAACTTTACCAAATATAATCCGATTTCAAAGTGGCATACCTCTAAAGATTTGTGGTTGGATTCTCTAAAAATCTGCATTCAAAAATTTTAGCGTTGACTTTACAAACACCAAAGTTATGGCATTTCCGATCAATCAATTATATGGCGGCTATAAAATATAGTCGACCGATCCTTATGAAATTTGGTAGGTCGTATTGATTGGCCAAATATAAAACCCATACAAATTCCCAACTTCCTAACTCGAAAAACACCAAAGTTATAGCCTTTCCGATCGTTCAGTTATATGCCAGCTATAGGATATAGTTGGCCGATCCGGCCGGACAGACGACAGACGGACGGACAGACGAACAGACGGACATGGTTAGATCGACTCTCCTGGTGATGCTAATCAAGAATATATATACTTTATAGGGTCAGAAATGTGTCCAAAGTAATAATAATATAAGAAAGCCACTTACAAACTCCTTGTAAGCTTCCTTGGGGAAACCACCTCCCATTCCGAAGCTGGTCAAGTCATTCTCCGCTCCCTGAGGCAGAAGCTCCTGCAGTTGCTGCTCCATCAGCGGATTGTGTCGGTGGTGTGGCTTTGGTCGCCTGCCCGGCTGCTCCGTCCCGCTATTGATGCCACTGCCAATCCCATTACCCATCCCTGCTACGGCGGCCACCTGGCGCAGCAGTTGCTCGCGATTCCCGGCCAGCAGTTTCTTGAGCAGCTTGGGATGTTTCAGCGGAGATTTCTTGCCAGCTGCCGTCGGTCGTTGTGTGCGATTCAGCTGGACCTCCAGGTCGTCGGTACTGAATAGCACCGCTCCCGGCGGTTCGATGTGCCTGGCAATCCCGTAGAGCTTCAGCACCGTGGACTCATTGTACCGCAGACGACAAGTGTCCGCCCGGGCCTGGAGGATGATGTCGCTATCCGGCACAAACTCGTAGGCATCCCGGGCATCCGGACGATTGCGGCACTGCAGCTGCCAGTGGAGGAAGAAGTCGCCGCCGAAGCTCTGCGAGATGGAGACCCCGCCGAGCAGGCTATTGGCACCACCTGCATCCGTCATCATGGCGTTCAGCAGGGGCTGTCCGGTTCTTCCATTCAGGATGGTGGTCTGCGAGTAGTAGTAGACGGGGAATCCCGGTCCCGTGTTGTACTTCACCATGAAGTCCGTGACATTGTCGTGATCGAAGAGCCCGGGCACAATGGCACTGACACACTCGCTGGCCGGGAACGTGTAGTTCCACATCATCGTGTAGTTGGCTCCGTCGAAGGCGAGGACACTCCGGTTGAAGGCGGCCACCACCACATCCGAGATGCCGTCTCCATTGAGATCGGTGAGCACGGCCGGCACCATCAGACCCGATCCCTGTTGTCGGTGGAGGGGGGTGAAGTGCTTCTCACTGGTGTGCGCCATCAAGGAGTGCAGTCGCAAGGAGTACACGCCACCTGGTGTGTTCTGACCACCAGTGACGATGAGCAGGAGCTCCGTTCCGTCCGCTTGCGTGAGCAGCTGGATCGGCACGAACATCTCCTCGCGGTAGGGCGTTGGAATACTCCGGATCACCTTGCCCGTCTTCCCCGAAATCAGCTTTATGTGCCCCGCCTTGGACTCCTCACGTTCCTCCAGATGGGCGGCTATTATTTCCGGCACCGAATCCCCGTCCAGATCGCGGAGCACATTGATTGTGTACAGGTCCATCACGATGGGTGAGTTCGTCTCCACTTCTA